CCTGCTCTATTTTTTTTAAAGAACAGGCTCTTTCCAATTTTGTTGCGTACTGTAATTTTCAGCTACTGTTTGGGCACTTGGGGTTCCTGAACAGTTTTAAAACTTTAATGGGGTTTTCAATAATTTATTTAACATGTAATCAAGGTCTTGAATTTCATAAAATACCCCATTTGTTTTAATAGAATTAACAGTGCGCTAATTAACGACCTTACATACGGTTAACGGCTGGAAGGAAATTTATTGTCTAGTTTTAATTTGACAATTAAAGATATTATAACATGATTCTAAATTAACTTTTAAATGCATGGTGAAGTCCTTTAATTAACAAATTGGACTTGCGGCATAGTGCATGGTTGTATGCTAAAAGATAAAACAGAACACAAGTACACAACTTAGTACGCTGTTACAGGATGGGAAGAACTAAATTGCTTAAATTAATTTAGCAATTTATTGGACTATAATATGATTATAGAATTTATTTTGAATGCATGAAAGTGTCATTGATATATTAGATCTGGTCTATGAATGCTTTGGATGCTAGTTATTGAACTATGAAACCGTTTCCTACAATTACAAGGTTTAACTCTCGGATTTAAAATGCTGAAACTTTAAACACTTTTCTGCAATGTTTTGGATATTGGTTTTGGATTGTAAATTACTAGCCTATTATTTATGTGTTGTAATTTACCTGGATATGGAGGATTGTATGCACCGGTATGAGACGGTGACATACTATGGATGATTTAGCTCAGAACGTTTAAACTTAACCTATCGGATTAAAGGAATGGGTTGGAAAATATTGAATCCTAACTGTGACTAAGTCAGATCAGCTGTAACTAAGTTGAATGGCTTCCTGGATTAATGGATGGTGGTTAAGTCATATCAACTGAATAAGTTGAGTGACTAACTAGTATGTTTTGTATGTCTCCTCAATAAATAATTGAATGACATATTATGGTTTTGGACGGATTTTAGATATATGATTATGGTACCACGATATGAGCTCGAGTCTCAGAGTCGTTGGTTAGGGTGCGTATATGCAGTGGATGCATAGCTGGATATAGTAGGTAGGTGTACCCTGTTAGGTCTAGGTACTCATGCCCACTCTTGGATGCGTTTTTGCATGTTGCCTTCTATTCAGGTTGAGACCCCTACTATAGTCCAGTGAATATTCCTTAGTGTGGATATATATATATGTATGGACTAGATAGATATTGTGAGGTATCTACGGTGTATCTGCGTATCTGGTCACTGTATGGATTGCAGTTAGATTAGAACTTGCTCGTAGGCCTGACCCACTCTTCTATTATTCTTTTCAGGTACAGGACGGTTCCAGCCTTAGAGCTTGATCGTGCTATTCGAGAACAGTTTCCATTCGTCAGATTACGTAGGACTTCTCACGATATTTCAGTTTTATTTACTTTCAGTTTTCAATTCAGTTGGGATTTTATTTAGGGGTCCACTAGATGGATTTCCGAGTTATAATCATGGAGGTTTTGGATGTTGAATTTTATTAAGTTTTATCGGTTGAGGATTTTATGTTAGTATTCTTTTCAGCTTTTATTATTTGTTCTTAATTCATTTTGTCATCTGTGTTCGTTATTAAATATTATTGTTTGATATTCCCTCGGGTTTGGGCCTGGGCCTAATCAATCCACGTCTCAGATCCGAGGGGTATCACATGAACCTCATAATATCTACATTTGATTTAATATCAGAATCAGCAAACCTGACTGGGACCATATCATCACATCCATTAATGAATATAAGATCATTGATTCTCCTAAGGTATTTAATGATATTTTTCACAACAGACCAGTTATCAAGTTCGGGATTAGACTGATATCTACTGACTATCCCTATTATATAGCGGATGTCCTGTTTGGTATAGACCGTGGCATACATGAGACTCCCATATGCCGAATCATATTGTTCCAGTCTCATTTGTTCAATCTCCTCTGCTAGTCTTGGATAACTACTTATTAGATAAAGTAATCCGTGTCAATAACGTAAGAACTCATTTTTTTTTAGTTTTGCATACCAAACCTGGTCAAAACTTTATCAATGTAGGATTATTAAGAGAAGCCTATTTTCCTTTTAACCTGATCTTGCAAAAACTTGATCATAAGAATATAGCTTACATCTTGAAAATCTTTCACGTCAAAATAATTGAGCAACTACATTTTTAATAATGACAAAGTTTCCACGTCATTATAAATGAGTAGGATGTCAACAATATATAGAATTAGAAAAATAATGACATTACCCTGTACACATATGGTTCATCTACTAAGAAATCTTCTGGTATTTTTTTGTAGATTAACTTGCCTTCCATAGGTATCACCCTACTAGAAAGTCCTACAAGATCCCAGTTATTATTAGAATACATAGATTCCAACTCTGATTTCATAGCAACTTGCCAAAATGATCTATATCCATATCGGTTCACGCTTTCGTGTAGCTTACTGGGTCCAACTCATGTTTGACAGGGATGTCCGTAAAATGTCTCACCTAAAAACATGATTTTGTCAAATTGGATAATAATCCTCCCACTACAACAATGTACCGATGCAGGAATCTATGTACTAGATGACGCTGATGCACCAATAGAGAATTCATATATAATTCTTAATCTCTATAATAAGTGTGTTCATATGTGGTACATCTGGTACTCATACCATATTCTCTAACATTATGCTACTAGGTATGAGATTCATAATATGATCCTCCTATAGATAAACAGTGAGTGTAAATAATCGACTTTTATCATTGAGATCATAAAATAATCCTGAGTGGGGGCACATAAGTCTAACCTTTTACCACTCGGGCCACTTCTACCATTAGGGGACTCACCCGTAAAAATAATGATGATAAAAAACAAAAATTTAATAATAATTATGTTTTGAATTTCCTATTTCTCACATGGGAAATACATTATCTCCCTACTTTCTTTTTTTTTTTCTTTTATTTTTTATTATTATTATTATTTTTAAGAAATAACCATAATTAGACTGATTTCCCATCATGATTCCTCTCTCTCGATTAATTTGGCTTGCTTGTAAAATGGAACCTTAAGTTTAAAAGGCTAAATTTAATACGGTGCACACCTAAAATAACAACAAAAATGTAAGTTTTATCTATTGAGTCAAAGTCACTCAGTTTATGATTTTCACTTGTGGCTTTGCTATTGAGGAAAGAAAAAAATAATCTATTTGGATATACAGAAGACAAAAGAAATGAAATGATAATATTAATTATGAGAGAAAATAAAAGAAATTAAATGATAACAATAATCTCTATCCATATTTTGACATATAAAAGAGAGAAGAAAAAAAAAAATGATAACAATCAAATTAATATCATACGCTTTTAAATATACGGGACATGAGTGAAACAACAATTTTCTCCTTTTAATTGTAACTTTATCTCTCCAAATCCCTCATTTTAAAACAAAGCCTAATGGATAAAGAGGGTTTTGGAGGAATACCTTAACCATAAGAAAGGGTTGCCATCTTTCAAGAAGTGGAATGATTTTTAGATAAATGATAACAACGTGAAACTTTCATAATATCGAAAATAATCTTAACACTTTAAAGAAGAAAATTAAAAAAATAGAGCATATTACATTGACAACCCCTACTAAATACTTAAATAACTCAAACCTCTCTTATAGTTTCAAAACACTCGCCTCCTGTAATACTCATAATTTTCATGGCATTTATTTATTTATTTTAAATTACATTTAATTTAATTATGTGGCTATGTGTTTATGTGTATTTATTGAAGTGTTAATGTTTTAATTATTATTTAATTAATTTTTTATTACGATGTGCTTAATTGTTTAATTTTAAATTGTTTATTTTTTTAGTTATATATTTAATTATGAGTTGGGTTTGTAGTAGCTAGACCAATCAAATGGTCCACGGGCTAATAGGAAGGAAGCTTAGATGGGTGTGGATTTTATGCCCATATAGATAGAGAAATATATGTGTGTGTGTTTAGTTTAGAGGGAGAGAACGTTAAAAAAAACCAATGCGTGCAACAAAGAGGAGAGATCGTGAGGAAGAGAGAGAGATAGAAGGCCAAACCAAGGGGCTAGGAGAAGAAGAAGATAAGGGATGTTCGGAAATATAACCGGACCAGCAGAGGGGACAACGACAATCTAAGTGTTGCCGGAGTTGGAAAAGAAAAACAAATAAGAAGGAGATTGGTTTTCGATCCGAAAACTTAAGGCAAGTTATTCGTTCTACACTTCTCTGGCCATTTGATCTCGTGTTCCATACATCTTTAGTATGACTTTAGGGATTTATAACGGGATTAATTAATCTATATGCATGATGAAATAGGATTAAAACAAAGGTATGTGTGTGTGTATTTATGAATGTGCTTTTTTGTATTATGTTGGTAAATCAATGAATTAATTTATGCTAAATTTGTTTATATATGTCTAATTGCCCGAAAGGAGTTAATGAAAGCTTATGGGACATAAATGCATGCTTTAGGATCCGGAACGATGGATTTCTGGACTCATAACGGACCTCCCAAGCTGTTTTCCCGAAACAAAGCTCGAGCGTTATTCAGTGCTCGAGCACTGCGCATTCTGACTAGCCCCGAATTGTATTTTTAAAGTAACGAACATGATATTTATACTCGGGGACAACGGTAGGTGTATTAAATGGCATGAAGCTTAATCATGCATGTAAATACTAGATTTATTCAATTATAAATTTAATTATTTAGATTGTCTAAACAATGATATTTAAAAAAATTGTTTACATTAATATAAAATATTAAAAAAATTATTTATTAGAGGAGGAAACACGTTAATATATAATATAAGATTAAAAACTTATTTCTTTAATTAACAATAATATACTCCTAAGTAGTACTAAAAAATTAATTAGAAAAGAAAATACATTAATATTTATTTTGTTAATAATAATAACGATATATATAGTAGGAAGTATACAATTTCGGGGGTTATTGTAATTTGCCTAAAAGATAATGTAGGTAAGTAAATTGGTTAATATTAGAACTTTTATACAACATCGATCAACAATTTTATTCCTTATCGACAAAAACAATCTCACGCACTGATCCCTCCTTGTTTTTTTAATTTTAATCTGAAATCATGGTTGTTCCAGTTCGCAGGGGTACGTAATTGCCGTGATTTTGCGGATTGATTTAGGGCATTATGAACTTTAACATCTGTGTTATTTTGATACATTTCATTGTTTGTGTAGTATTATTATTTAATTTTCTCTGATTCTTGTGTTGCAGGAAGAAGCAGTGGAGGACGTGTTAGGGGTTCTGATTCAGATTCAGATAGTAAGGGCAACCCTCTTATCTTTCTATAATTCTATGTATCTATCTATTAGCGAATATGTATATGTATATGTATATGCGTTATGTATCTATCTATAAGCGAATATGTATATGCGTGTGTATATATGCTTTATACAGATAGTAAGGCAACCCTCATTATCCTTCTATCTATCCAGTTCCCATACACGAAGAACATATATGTATATGAATGAATATGTACTTGTATATATGCGCACAATCACTAAGTCGTTTCACCTTTATGCTTTGTTTTTTTTGTTACTGTCCCTGTATATATGCGCACAATCATGAAGTCGTTTCACCTTTATGCTTTGTTTTTTTGTTACTGTCCCGCTATGGAAATTCATCTTAGTTATATGTTTGGCGACAGTTGGTTAATTGGCTATATATATATATATATATTTTTTTTTTTCAAATGTAAAAATATTGTGAATTTATTGGTTGATTTTTTTTTTTTTTTTTTTTTTTTCCCTCGGTCATTTCCATGCTTGCAAAACATCCGTTTGCAGTTTATTATCTCAGTTGCATTGCTTCTGGTAATTTTCTATATAGGTTTTTCTGACCTTCTTCGTAATGCTGCTATTGCCTTGGGTCTAAAGTCCGTAAATCGTCAGTTTGTAAGTATTATTGATGAAGGGAGCCCTTTTTGGTGTGATGATATTTCCATGAAATATAAAAAGGTATATTTGCTCCTTACTTGAAACTATATATCATGACTGTTAGTGGATTATGTGTTATCCATGTCGACATGCCATGACATGACATGGGTACGGTATTATTGGTATGTGATACGTGTTTCACATGTGCAAAAATTGAGCACTTGAATATTCTTATGATCATGATGGAAGAAGAAAAAAGGCTCAAATTTTACAGCAAGAATAATTTACTTAGTTTTAAGATAGATGAATCTCTATATTTTCACCATATTCCATTTAATTTTGCTTATCATAAAGTATATTTTTAATGATTAATAGCATCATGCGTTATACTTTTATGTAGTAGATTATGTTTTTAAGCACGCAAGACCTCCCTACTTCCTTAAACCCGAGATATGTGGACTCGACTTGAAATGTGTCCAAAACTTGGCCGCACACTTGTACCAGATAAATGTACATAGTCAAGGTAACATGGCTGATCACATTGTTTGTTACATTTTATTTTCAAATACGAAAGTGGAACGATGGCTATAGCACCACAGTTCCCAAAAGAGTGTTTTACCGTAGATATATTTGTCTATCCTCTTATAAGTTTAAGATGGAATGGAAATTAGGTGATGGAAATTGAAATCAAGTTGGGCACCTTCTCCCCAGCTGATTTGAGAGATAAATTCCATCCTCTGGAAATCTTCTTTGTTGTTCCCATTTCAAAATTGGAATGAAATTGAGTTTTAAGCTTTGTTATTTTTTATTTTATTTTATGTATATCCATTGATGTATTTTAAAGGATGGAACGAATTGGACAATTTGGTAGGAGGAAATATTAAAAGGAAGGAAAGGTTGAATGGTAACGGAAGGGATTAATTAGCTTTCTATTTCGTGGTAGGAATGTCCGAGCGGGGGACAAAGGAAAGAGCAAGGAAGCTCTTCTCTTCCAAGCATTCGTATTCCATCATCTTAATGTCACTGAAAATGAGAAGGGAAAGGAATCTCTTTCATTCTCTTTTCTTTAGTCTTTTCATTGCCGTTCTAACCAAACAGTTCTTAATGTGTAATGTATATAAGGAGAATCAAATGACATTCTCCTTCTAGCATATTCACATAAGGAACAATTGATACCTTTTCTCCCTAGGATGCCTTTTCCACTCTCCCACAAATGACATTCTCCTTATAGCATATTCACAAAAAGAGCAATTGATGCCTTTTCTCCCTAGGATGCCTTTTCCACCCTCCCACCTTAACTTCATTAGCTCATGCCTAACAATGAGAAAACTACATGTTATTATAATGAAAATATGGAGATGCAAATGGTAAAAAGATGGTGCTATGAAAAGTGATTAAAATTGTTCATAGACAAGCTCGTTTCTCGATTATAATAATTTCTCAATTTTTTTGGTTCTCTTTACAGGAGTTTACCTTTTCTTTGTTTTAAGATGTTGATCGAGTCCAATCCAATATAGGATTAATATGTTCAAAGACAATTATGTAATACTTAAATGTGAATGGGACAATCTGTTTTGTTTTCTCTTTAAGTGGCAATTAGATTTGGAGCTAAAACCTACGTCTTTATGTAATTGAGAATTAATTTTTGTACATAAAGTTCAAAGAATTTTCATTGCACCAAAAAAAAAAAATAATAATAATAATTTTGTACTTCAAAAATATATGATTCGAAGGTAGATTCTGTTATATTTTCCCTTTGAAGCCTAGCATTTCGAGAATGCACTCTGAATATGGAATCAAATGTTACTTAAAATTATTTTTTCTATCAATTCATAAATTCAAATTGGTAACCCTTAACAGAGTCCAGAAATTTGTCGAACTCCAAAATAGGTAGCCAGTTCTTTTCTTTTCTTTTTTCCTTTTAAAATAAAGTACCTTCATGTTTGTTATTGATTTTATACTCCTTTTCATGTTTCTTTTAGTTTATTTGGTGGTCTTATGGATAAAGTTTTTCATTATATATTGAACGCAAGGTTGTAAAAGTATTTGTGGGGGCAGTAATGGTTTACGTTACTTGGTTTTCTTTGTTGTGAATGCAGTGCATGAAAGAGTGTGGCGATGAAGATTGTCAAAAGTACCAGAAAACTTTGTCCGTGCACTGCCGTAAGGGAGTTACTTCTGTTGTGACTAACTTTTTCTCTATATGTTTCTGTTGTGTCTGTGTTACACTAGGGATTTGCTTTCTCCTATTTTTGATGTCTTATTGGTTTCTGTCACTGCATTGTTCTTCTTACACCACATCTGTTTCAACTTTTTCACCTTCTCTCCTTTTCATTGTTTTTTATTTTCGTTATAAGTGGTTTTTACAGAAATTTTTATTAATATGGTAATACTTTTGTCTGTGTTCAGCTCATTTTTTGTCTTGAGTTCATCTAAATTCTTAGGGATAAGTACATTGGTGGATAGTTATTGACAACATTTATTACTTGCGTATTATCTCATAGATTATCAAGATCGTTTGGGTGCATGGAAGGAGGATATGGGAGTGAAGTTTTGGGTTTTACTGGTTGCTTGCTTTTATTCTTTGTTTCAATTTTTCCTTTGAGGGTGGGCCTTGGTGCAACGGTAAGGTTGTTGCATTACAACCTGGAGGTCATGGGTTCAAAATGGGAAAGAGCCTATTTGCATGCTGAGTTAAGGCTGTGTACATATAAGCCTCCGCAGATCCCGCAGTGGAAGGAGCCTTGTGCACTGGGCTGCTTTTTTCAAAATTTCCTTTGAAAATATTCATGCCGAGTGGATTCCGGAGAAGACGATTTACTGGTTCTAAAGTCTTGGTTATGCAATTATGTTACTTAATAACATAGATAATGCTGTTGCCCCAATTTACAAAATGGTGCAACTAAATAATTGTACCAGTGAAATTGGTCGCATTATTCTTGTTTTCACCAGTTAAGTAGTCATGGAATTAGCTTCGGAGATGCCTGCCTTTTCCACTTCAGATCCTTATGTTTTAATAGCAAAAAATGAATAAATTAATTTTTTTAATGTGTTTTGTGCATATAAATAGGATGCCCTAACTTCCTACATATGTGATAACATTCCTCAGAGAATTGCTACCATAGTCTATAGACAACTTGACTTGGCAGAATTTTCTGTTAACTGTTCCTTCGCTTGGCATTATGAACTTCATGTGTACTGAGTTACACATGTATTACTTTGATATGAGTTGATTCAGTCTTTTCCTTGGTTCTCATGTTGAAAAAAATGAGTAAATGTAGCTATCCTAGTTCTTATATATATATATATATATATATATATATCGATACAGATGTAATCCTTCGTTTGGCCTTATGAATGTCATGTATACTGAGTTATATCTGTATTCTGTTGATATGAGTTGATTCACGGTCTTTTCTTTTAGTTGTGATCCTCATTCTGAAAAATAGAGTAAGTTTAACCATCCTTGTTCTTATATATATATGCATATATATGTCTCTGCATATGTATATTAATATTCATTATTCATAATACGTACGTCAATATGTGTGTATATATGCATATGTACATTAAGTCCACATTCATGGTTAACTTTTGTTGACGTTTCCTCTTTTTTCTAGCTTTTCTTGTTGATGTTGGAATTGCTAATATGTGTTTTGGTGGTGATTTGTATGATTTTATGTATGTGTGACACCACTTGCATGATTTTGTTTGCAAAGTGCTCTCTCATTCATGTGTATATCCTTCTGATAATATCGTTTGCAGGTTACCTTAATCCAACGGCCAGTGATATCGAGGAGGCGAATCGGGCGTATGACGCTTACATGACAAATAACAAAAATGAATGTGGGTTTCTTACCATGATGTTCGATAAGGTATAATTGATCTTTATTTGGGAGCAATTAAAACTTTATTTTTAGGTGTTACCTGTTTTTTTATTTTTTTTTATTTTTAAATTTTTTTTTAAGTCTTAAATGTAAATTATAATTCCTTTATATGTATGCTGTTTAATATTTCTTTTGCATACCAATAAATAAATCACTTTACAACCTTTGTGAAAATACCACTTAAACTCTACAATAACGGCCTTTAGTACCTAAAAGTTTGTAGTTTCTTTTGTCGGATAAGTATCTTTGCTGTTCCAAGTTTCCTCATAATCATGTCTAGAAAACGAAAGCCTAGTAGAAAAAAACTCTATCCTTCATAAGCACTAAACGAAAGCATGCAATAAGGGTATCTTTTTTTTTTTGAATAGTTAGTCCAAGAGGATATCAGAATCATTTATCAAACAGATCTCAAGAGAAAGTATCATGGTTGTCAATGGATCGTAGTAGAAAATAAGTTGCATTAATATATCATCAATATGAGATAATGCATCACATTTTCATACTACGCATTGTTGCGTGGTGAAAACCCGGTGCATAGCCACCAACTCCAGGTTCGTTGCCACCCTAACAGGCATCCATGTAGAGGTAGTGAGCATTCCACCGACTTAGAATTCTGCCAAATTAAAGGATTTCGCTATCATCAAAGGGACTCTGCATGTCTCATTTATCAAAGTTCGACTTATGAAATTGGCATATGCGCAAAAGAGGCCGATCCCATAGAATAACACAACAGAACAAGACACCTCTTCACTTTTTGTCCTATGCTAGACTCATAAATCCACTACTTTTATAGCTTTACAGCATTCTGCAATACACAGAGAAAAGGGAATGCATACATGCATAAGTAATTGAAGTCTTTCAAGTTTTAAATTCTTGCAGAATATAAAAATCCCTTTTCTCCCAATAGATAAATCTTCTATTTATTTTCATTATTTTGAAAGTTTGATGAAATCATCTTCACCTTAGAAGGATTTATAGAATCAACTTTACAAGTCAACCCCGTTTGACCTGAATTCCTAGGAGCCTAAGTAAGTTATTGGTACCATAGGCTCCATTATAATCATTTAGAAGTAACACTGATTTGTCTGATCAAAATTTATATGTATTATGTGGTACTAAGAATAAATCAGTACTAAACCAGTGTGTAACTATTAGGCTTATGTGAAGTGCTGTTTAGAAAATGTGACAGCCTTCTAGGTACATAAACAGGTTTTTGAATATGCATAAATATATATATAGTAATTTTTTTGATAAGTGTATATATATATATATATGTGGGTAAATTACACCAACACCCTTTGAGGTTAAGCCATTTCTCACCTATATGAACATTTTGGTTTTAACTTTCACTTACACCCCTATTTACTTTTTGGCCTCTGACACATGCGAATTGACCCTTTTACCCTCAAAATTTTAATACAAAATATTTGTAATCTTAAATGACAAAAAGGCCCATAGATATATATATTCAAGCAATGCTTGTACAGGCCCAAATCGTCACCGACCATGGATTCTGGCGATTGCAGTGGCGCAAGGACGGCAGTGAGTTGAACTGAAACGGTTGCCAGCGAGCAATGAACTTTTTAGTGGTGAAGAAGATGCGTGGACATGTGACTTTTACAGTTGTTGTTCTTCAATTTGTTCACACCCAGTTCACATCCTTCCTAGCTGAGCTCCTCTCAAGTCTCAACATCGCTGGCCGTCGAACTTCATCACCGTCCGCAAGAACCTCTACACCTGATTTATCATCACAGCCACTTCATCGTCACCATGTAGTGCCGCCGCTGCCACTTGAATCGCCGGCTCACTGTCGTACATCACCGCCGACCTCGAAATACAGATCCTCACCGTTGCCAAATCAGCCATCGGTCATCATGCGACTCAATCCGCTTCACCATCTCCACTGGTTTTCACGTTGATGGAGCTGCAAATGGGTATTTCTTCACTGTCCGGTTTGGTCACTACCGTTGGGTCGTTGATGCTTAGGTCTTCTCGCCGGAATCGATGGGTATTTGCAATTGCTGAAAGCTTGAAACTTTTGGATCAAGATGTCAAATGAATTTTTGGGTCGCTACACTGTAATCGCCAGAACTTACGGGTTTCTGCAAACTCACCTTCTTCAGCTTTCTCTCTATATATATCTTTCACGGTCCAAAGTCCAAACTCGGATCATGCTAGAAATTGAATTTGAATATGGAATTGTTGGATTCGCAAGAATTGAACACGTTGCTGTTAGGATTTTGGAGGGCGGTTTTGATGGCGAGGAGTGCGTGGAGGTCGTCGGAGTTGGTGGTGGTGGACAGCTGAAAAAGTAACGAACACCAGAGAGGACGCCGGTATTGACTCTGTCTGATCTCCGTAACCTCTCTTTTAGCCGTAGTTCTTGTCTCCTCCACGACCGCTGTGGTTTGGGCATGACCGTGACATGTTTCTATTAGGGTTGTCTGGTTTGCGGACAACAGAGATGGAAAGTTGGAGTGGTGAAAATTCAGTTTGTGATTTTGGGATTAAACTCTAGGACATTTTGGTCATTTCGAATGGGTCTGTTGGGTGGTATAGTCATTTTATATATGAAATAAAGTCAATACAAAGTCAAAAGGGTGGTATAGTCATTTTACACCTAAAAAGCACTCTGATATCATCAAAAACTGACATTTGGAGTGTAAGTGAAATACAACATCACTCTTTAAAATGTGAGTGAAAGTTATAACCAAAATGTTGATCTAGGTGAGATATGACTTAACCTCAAGGGGTGTCTGTGTAATTTACCCTATATGTATATAGTAAATTATTGTCCTCCCCTAAGATTTAGAGAAGTCACTATCGGATGAAAATTTGAAAAAAATAAAGTCAACCTCCCTTGAGGTTTGATGAAATCATAGTCAACCCCCTCTCCGATATATTAGTATTACCGTTGATGTCATTAAACAATTTTCTCAAATACCCAAAATACCCTTTAGTAATAGCAATTTACTTCATTTGTACTTTATCATTTTAAAATGACAAATCTAACCCTTTATTTTTTGACCAAAATATTAATTATGTATTCTATCTCAGATCTATAAATGACAGTCGAATGTTTTTATACATGTTATGTAAAATTGATTATATGGTTGAATATTAGAAGCGCTACTTAGTTGTATAAATGACAATCAAATATATTATATAATTGGTTAATTAATTTTGCATTAAGTATACATATTATTCAATGTTAAGTTATATAATCCAACTACATCAAGTGAAGAAATATATATATATATATATATATATATATATGTGGGGATATATATACATACATATATCCTTCAAGTTCCACAGTATGTATAGACACACTCATATGTGAGAGAGAGAGAGACAGAGATAGAGGGGTGGGGGGGAGGAAGGAATTGAAATTCAAGAACTGAAAATGGTGAGGCAGGGTGGGGTTTTGGGAAAGGCAAATGGCTGTGTTTGTTTAAGCAGACCCAAAATAAGGTTTCTATGGTTTATAAGTAGTAAAGGACATTACAGTTGTAGAATTGAAGACACGGTCCCGCTCATTGGCATTATCCGGAAATCCATGTAGATACATGTTAGTCTGTTAGATTGAAAATCAATCTGTGGATACGTGTTAGTCTGTTAGATTGAAAATCAATCTATTTTGCTTTGAACAGACCTCTTTTCCACTATATTTCACTATCAAGCCTTGGAGGTTCTGTTTTTTGGTGGAGGGTCTGAGTCACGGTGGAGAGAGAGTTGAGAGAGAGAGGCACTTTTGGTGGCGTTAATTTGGGTTGCACAAAATTGAAATAAAGGTCTTTCTGACCTTCTTCGTAATGCTGCTACTGCCTTGGGTCTAAAGTCCGTAAATCGTCAGTTTGAAAGTATTACGGAAGAAGGGAGCTTTGGTTGGTGTGATGATATTTCCATGAAATATAAAATGGTATATTTTCTTCTTTCTTGAAACTATATATCAAGATTGTTAGTGGAGTATGTGTTATCCATGTCGACATGCCATGACATGACATGGGTACGGTATTATTGGTATGTGATACGTGTTTCACACGTGCAAAAATTGAGCACCTGAATATTCTTCTGATCATAATGGAACAAGAAGAAAAAAGGCTCAAATTTTACAGCAAGAATAATTTACTTACTTTTAAGATGGATGAATCTCTATATTTTCACCATATTCCATTTAATTTTGCTTATCATAAAGTATATTTTTAATGAATAATAGCATCATGCGTTATACTTTTATATAGTATATTATGTTTTTAAGCATGCAAGACCTCCCTACTTCCTTAAACCCGAGATATGTGGACTCGACTTGAAATGTGTCCAAAACTTGGCCGCACACTTGTACCAGATAAATGTACATAGTCAAGGTAGCATAGCTGATCACATTGTTTGTTACATTTTCTTTTCAAATACGAAAGTGGAACGATGGCTATAGCACCACAGTTCCCAGAAGAGTGTTTTACTGTAGATATTTTTGTCTATCCTCTTATAAGTTTCAGATGGAATGGAAATTAGGTGATGGAAATTGAAATCAAGTTGGGCACCTTCTCCCCAACTGATTTGAGAGATAAATTCCATCCTCTGGAAATCTTCTTTGTCGTTCCCATTTCAAAATTGGAATGAAAATGAGTTTTAAGCTTTGGTATTTATTTATTTATTTATTTTTTATGTATATCCATTGATGTAGTTTAAAGGATGGAACGTATTGGACAATATTGTAGGAGGAAATATTGAAAGGAAGGAAAGGTTGAATGATAACGGAAGGGATTAATTAGCATCATCTTAATGTCACCGAAAATGAGAAGGTTGAATCTCTTTCATTCTCTTTTCTTTAGTCTTTTCATTGCCGTTCTAACCATAACAGTTCTTAATGTGTAATGTATATAAGGATAATCAAATGACATTCTCCTTCTAGCATATTCACAAAAGGAGCAATTGATGCCTTTTCTCCCTAGGATGCCTTTTCCACTCTCCCACAAATGACATTCTCCTTCTAGCATATTCACAAAAAGAGCAATTGATGCCTTTTCTCCCTAGGATGCCTTTTCCACTCTCCCACCTTAACTTCATTTGCTCATGCCTAACAATGAGAAAATTACATGTTATTATAATGAAAACATGGAGATGCAAATGGTAAAAAGATGGTGCTATGAAAAGTAATTAAAATTGTTCATAGACAAGCTCGTTTCTCAATTATAAAAATTTCTCAATTTTTTTAGTTCTCTTTACAGGAGTTCAACTTTTCTTTGTTTTAAGATGTTGATTGAGTCCAATCCAATACAGGATTAACAATTGTATTTGAAGGTCTTTAAAAGTAAAATAAACTTTGTAACTTTACATATTCAAAGGCAATTATGTAATACTTAAATGTGAATGGGACGATCTGTCTTGTTTTCCCTTTAAGTGGCAATTAGATTTGGAGCTAAAACCTACATCTTTATGTAATTGAGAATTAATTTTTGTACATAAAGTTCAAAGAATTTTCATTGGACCAAAAAAAAAAGAAAAAGTTTTGTACTTCAAATATATGATTCGAAGGTAGATTCTGTTCTATTTTCCCTTTGAGGCAGAGTGGGGTTTTGGGAAAGGCAAATGGCCTGTGTTCGTTTAAGCAAACCCAAAATAAAGTTTCTTCTATGGTTTATAAGCAGTAATGGACAATTGGACATTACAGTTGTAGAATTGAAGAAACAGTCCCACTCATTTGCATTATCCGGAAATCGAGCCTCAGTGGAGGCATGTGTGTGTGAGTACCAACTAGGGAAAAAAAAATAGATTGAAAATCAATCTATTTCACTTTGAACAGACCTCTTTTTCACTATATATCACTATCAAGCCTTGGAGGTTCTGTTTTTTGGTGGAGGGTCTGAGTCACGGTGGTGGAAGGTGGAGAGAGAGAGAGAGAGCACTTTTGGTGGCGCTAATTTGGGTTGCATAAAATTGAAATAAAGGTAAAGGCAGCAAGGGTTATGGTGATGGACTTATATATAGAGAGAGGGGGGTGCTGATAGAGGAATGAAGGTGTTTGTGGGAGGAGAAAGAATTAGATAGTTGTGGACCTGTGGTGGTGGAGGAGCTGGTGTTGGTGGTATGGATTTTTGTAGATGATTGGGAGTGATGATGGTCGTGGCAATGACGGTGATGGTTGTGGTGGAGAGAAGAGAGAAGTGGGGGTGTGGTGGTGGTGAAGTGGTGGAAGTGAGATGGTGATGCAACACTGCGGGAGTGGTGGCGCTGGAGTGTGGAGAAGAGAGAGGGGACTTAAAGCTCAAAATGTAAGGGGTATTTTAATAAATTCAACCACGCTCAGTGTTTTTATATCAAGGGTAATATAGCAAAAGCACATATAACATTTTGCAACTTACAATTCTCAACTCTGAAAAGGGATGCCGGAGTTCTTTTTTTAAAAACTTCCATCTGATGGTGATTACTTGAAACCTCGGGGAAAGCCAGTAAATTAACTATATATATATACTCCTTTTTACGATACAGAAATATCCACCCATATTTTGCTTTGATATATTTTTTTTGGGCATTATAATAGCAATGTATCAATGGAACAATTTCCATATCTTAGCAAAATGATAAATGACTCGCTATTTTGCTTCCTGAAGACTATATAGAATTTTGACATTTAGTATTAAGTTAGATTGAATTCCTTGATAAATTTGTTGGGTTGAATTTTTTGTCACATCGTTTGAAAATCATTTGCAAATCCCAAAATTTACATACAGTAACTAGTTTTGGAGAGGGTTATCTACTATAGGGAGGCCAATCAAAAATTGTATCTGGCGTATGTCAAAAAGAGCCATCTCTTATCTTTTAAACCCCATAATGCAGTAATAAATTATGAAAAAGTTTCATATGCTACAATATTTAAAGTCCAGAGAATTAATAAATCATACAGACCTGTTATTGTTAGCAACAGGTTTTACTATAGTGGTGTCTCCAATATCACAAGCCATTTTTCATTCGCGGCAGATCCTTCAATGGACCCATCTTTTGATATACATTTTAAATTTGTTGTTATCCTTTAGCTTGTTCCTTGCCTGTTCTATCGCTTTACACTTTTCTCTAATCTTCTCTTTTTTTTGTACTTTAATCTCTCCCGCAGCTGTTTCTCTCTCTCATATTTCCCCTGCTTTTCTGTCCTCCTGTCTTGTTAGAATGTATGCATATGTGACTGGTACAACCAGTTTTTATTTTTTATTTTTATTTTATTTATTATTTTTTTTGTCTTTTAATTGTTGTCCATTTGTGTTGTTGTTGTTGGTCATTTGTGGTGGCGGTGTTGTTTTTGTATTGATTTATTTTATTTTATTAATGAATTGGTTAGCTACTAAATTGCAGCTCTTGTGGTTACAAAGTTCATTCAAGTAACAATCAAATCAACCCATTGATATCCATTCGGGTTGCTTTCCTTTTTGGTATACACAATAAGATCTCGTGTTTGCTGTCTTAACCATATATGGTATACAAATATTAAGATGTCTTATTGAAGCAATAGCTCAGTTTCCTGAAGGTGTGTCGCAATCATTCCACGAATTCCTAGCTCTATTTTTTTTTTTTTTTTAAATTAATTTTATTTGAATTTCCCTTCTTTTAAATTATAGGATAACTTCGTTCAGAATGTTTTCCTCTTTTAAAGTTTTTATTTACTAATTAACTTCCTTAAGCACATATTTCCTCAAAAATAAAAATAAAAATAAAATAAAAAATTAATAACACTCCCACAACTTTGGGTGGCTTGCCATCTCAAGACCATCATTATCTATGTATAAATTTATTCATACAAGTTGTATGATTTGGCAACACAACCTACTTAATTTAATTCAATAAATAATAGTTATAGTCAGCATAATCTAAATAATATAATTTGGTAAATAATAGTTATAGTCAGCGTAATTCTCACTTAATTTTATACTTCCTGCGGCCCATATTAGGTATTATAATTTTTTAAGGGGACATGCAATTAATGAATTGCCCCCTTAAAAATTTACCAAGTTGTCCTTTTAAAGTTTATATATTTTATCAAGTTGGGAGATTTTTGAAAACTTAAAAGGGTAATTATGGGAAGATCAACATTTATTTTGCTTTGACTTTTGAAATGGGACAATTATTTGGGACATTCCAAAAAAGAAAGAGGGACTGCTAATATGGGATGGAGGGAGTAATAATTATCTGTACACTGGTCATTATATTCTTGCCTATGCAGCTATGTTAACTGTGATGTAGTTGCACCATACTTTGTTGCAAAGGGGAAAATGAAGGAATGAACTCTATTAAGTATTACCACTTGGGTGTTTATTTGGGTTTGTAAAATTTGAGTACCTATAGTGTAACTTTTATGGCTTGATAGACCCTGGCCTGTAAATGGACCTTTATGACCTTCTAAAATATCTTTTAGGCCATGACCAATTGGGGCTGGCAAGGATCTGTTATTCTTTGTGTGTTTTTGGCGGGCATGAGTGAGTGGATGTGCCTATTGACAGCATTTTCCCACATAAGCATATTCTCCTATGCAATGTTGCAGTTGAAGTTTTGATTATTGGATGAATAGAAGCAACAGTTTTTGCTTCCTGTATGGTTTCCAATTATGTAAAAGGATCAGGTTTATGTTATGACACTGCCTGTTATCTTCTTTTTGAATTTTATATGTAAAATAGAAGGGTAAAGTGCAGAAAACACCCCTCTACTATTGATATAGTGCATATACACCCCCTGGTGTTCCCTAAACCCCCTTCGTGCTTCCTGTATGGTTTCCTTGTTATTATTATTTTTTGTTTCTTTTTTTTTTTTACATTCATTTTTGTTCTTATTTTTCTATTGTAGTACTACAATAATATAATTTTTAAAACTCGTAAACTAGATTTTTGATATATTTGTGGTGCAATAATATTTTTCATATACTGTTTGGTATGAAAGCAATGTGTAAACTACTACGCTGGGGATGATCGCGCACATTGTAGAATCCTCCGCGAAGACTTGTCCCGATATTGTCAAGGTAAGGTGGATGCTTACAGTGAGTAACTTTTGGTTAATATCCTTCCATTTTGATCTACTATGCTTACTAGGACATTCTTATTTTCATTTTTGTTATCTAATTCTTTTCCTAGCTCTGCAATACTTATCTTATGCCAGATCTGTTTCAAGTATTTTGTGTTTATCTCTCTTTGGTGCCTTTTCTCTTTTCATTTTTAGGTGTCGTTTTTTTTTTTTTTTGGATACTTCATTTTTTCCGTTCAACTCACTTTGTCATCGTCATTGATTTGATTTCTTTGGGCATAAGTACGATACTGGTGTGGAGGCATGTCAGCCTTTGATCTTGGAAGAAAATATGGTGGTATATGGCATATTCTTTTTGTTGGCAACACAAGTAATTGGGGGTATCTCATAAATAGTTGAGAATGAAAAGGAGGAAATGTGAGTGATGTTTTGGGTTTAGAGTCTTTAGACAAACAAGTTCATGCCGCCACCACGTGTGTGTTGTTTTGTTTTAAAATTTTCAAAATTTTTTATTTTATTCGTTCTGAGAAGATTTTCAGGTTCATATATATATATATATATATCTTAAAAATTGGGATTGATGTTTGGGGTGCAAATATGTGTTTTTATTTGTGATTTAGTGGTTTTTTGTGTGAAATTGGTGATATCTGATTTTCTTCGTATCATCTTTAAATCCTTATTCATTTCCTGTGAAGAAATCATAGCCAGGTTTGTTATATTTTAAAAATAAATGGTGAATTTCGTTGCCCTCTTTGTTTATTTTTGGGTAAATTGCATTGACACCCCCGGAGGGTTTTGTCAATATCACCTAGATCAAAGTTGATGATTTTTGGACAGTAACACCCCCTAAGGTTTCAAATGTCATAATTGCCCCTTATTATTTAATTCATAATTTCAGCCCTTTTAATTGACAAAAATACCCCACCATTAATCTTTTGGATATGGAGACATGTTACCCAACCATAGACTCTCTCATCACTTCAGATCACTATGTAATCCCCAAAAACCACCACAACCACCACCACCACACCCAGACACCACCATAATCACTAGGAAAAAAAAAAAAAACCCATGGGCAACCCAAACACCACCACGACAGATGATTCAGAAGCAATAGTCCTTCGGCAATCAATAAGTGTTTGCTTGAATCCACAACAGAAACTCTATCAAATACCGTAAAGGTCTTCTCTTTAATCTCCAGCAACGACCCCGAATCTACCAGTTGCACGAGCACCAGTTTGATCCTCTGCGCCACCACAATCAACACATTCTTGCCGTCCTCTTAAAGCCAACCAAACAGTGTGAGTCCATTGGCGAGTTCTTTGACTTAGTCCCAATCTGCAACTGAGTTATCAAATTCCAAGCCATGACTCGTACGGACTCCCTCTTTGACGATGACGCCGACCTTAGAACGGCGTCTTTGTGGAGGACCCTGCTCTTGATCAAAATGTCGGCGTCCTTGATGTGGCGGTCTTGCTTTTCCGAGACCGAATTGACGTTGTTCTGGGTCTCGAGCTTGCCGTTAGGAAGGGTGGGATTGTGACAGGCTTCTGAGAGACAGTGTGTCGGAGAGGGTATAGGAGACGGAGTGGAGGAGTTCTAGAGAGAGTAGGGAGGTGAATCGGAGAGGTCGATGAGTTGGGTCTTAAGATTGGTGAGTTTGGTTATGATCAGAAACCATTCGAATATGTGTGTGTTGTATCAAGTTTGGTTCTGATCAGAAACCGGTCGATGTGTTCGTTTTCTCGTTCTTTCATGGTTGTTTTCTTTATAGTTTTTATTTTTTATTTTTTTGATGATTGCAGTTAAGAGAGAGAGTTGCAATTTAGAGAGAGAGGGGAGTCCTAGGATGATGAATAAGCTGTGTTTGGTAAACGAGAAGCATGAAATGAATAATGGGAAATCAAGGTTATTTTTGGTCTTTCAAATTTAGTTTATAGGGGTATATTGGTAAATTTAAACTTTTAATGTGTTTATTGAATAGTCAAAGGCTAAATGGTCATTTTTTTTTATGTGTTAGAGGTTTGGAGGGGGTGTGAACGCAAACTTTTTAAACCTAAAGGGGTGGTGGGACTGCATGCGCGTTGACCCATATAGGCCACATCTAAGTGGCATTGACCGAAACCTTAGGGGTGTAAATGCAACTAATCCTTTATATTTACATGGATTTCCTTTTTAGTTTGAAAAATAACACTGACAGAGTATGTGGTTTTGACTTTGCCTATCAGAATTTAAATATATATATATTTTAAATTGAATAAACCAGCTATTGTGGAAAAACGCATTAACCCTTCACCACAAGACGTTTATATACAGCCTCAGCCTTTCTCAACTAATCAATTGTAAGGAAAAAAAAATGTATTTTTATTTGATCCAATGGTGAAATTGACATTATGAAAGATCATTTTGCTGACAATAGCAAAATCCATACGTGAGTTGTGTTGACCCTTAATGGTTACAAAACAATGTTTGACAAGAGAGGTCATAGTTATTTTTGAAACTACATGGAAAATTCTTGTAAAGTATAACGAATCTCGGGGAAATTTGTGCAATTTATCAGAAATAAATTATGAAATTGAAGTACCCTTTTTTTGTTGTTGTATGCTTTCATTAATTCTGTTTTTGAAGTGCTTTCTCATTCATGTGTATATTCTTCTGGTAATCTTCTTTGCAGCTTTTGAAAAGGGTGGACAGCCCACTGGTGAAACAGGTATATTTCCTATTATTTAGAAAGGTTAAATGGCAGCATATTCTTATACAATCTTCTGAGATGGCATGGGTTTACAATATATATAGTTTAAATAGAAATATTTAATTTAGATCAATTGTTGATGCAAATATATGAGCCTAATGTCAATTCCTTATTTGTCATGTTGTTGCCCTCTTCTTCAAATACAACAAAGGTGTAAACCATGGCTATAGTGTGCACCTCGCTAAAAAGTGATTTTCTCTTATGTATTTTTATTTGCGTGAATGCGTGTGCATCCAATGTGCATATACATTTTGTTGTGCACAGCGGAAGCTCTGATACCAATTGTTGAGAAATTTCCCCCAATCAATTATTGTGCAATTACCCCCAATCAAGACCCACACATATAAAGGAATGATGATAAGGTAAAACAAGAGATGCAGCAATAAAATAACACACCACTTCGGTTAAACACGCCTACGTCCACGGAGAGCAAGATTTCTACTAGAGATTGTAAATCATACAATATAGAGGATTACATAGAGATTTCCATAACAAATCCTCAACCCTTTTGTACTCAATCACTCACAAAGAAATACTAAGTTCTAGACAAGAACTATCTCACACAGTGCCCTCTCAAATACAATATGAGCAAACTGTCCTCTCAAATACAATGAGAGTAACCCGCACACAAGAGTATACCTCTCACACAAGAGAGAGTGGTTCATTCTCCTACTCTCTACATAGAGCTTGACCCTATTCTTCATATCTGCACGTGTTCTCCTTTTATAGGAGAATAAACCTTGTGTGTACTGCGTGCCGTGTTTTCACCGTCCAGCATTTGCGTCAACAAAGACACCACGTTTGCAGCTTCCAGAAAACGCGTGCAAATTGAGTCCATAATTGTGAGTAAAAAACAATTTAAAAGTGGCAAACATTCTGCCATCATTTCAGCAAAATATTATTTTCCTTTTTTTTTTTTTTTTTTTTTTGACTTTTCCAATTACTTTTCTCTTTTCTCCACCTGAGCCACATGCAGCAAATGTTGAATTCTTAGCCAAAAAGCCAACACATCTTTCTCCAGTAAGTTCTAGTAAAAAAATTCGTCTAATTGGACAATTTTGTGTGTCATTGATGCTTGCATTTTATGTTTCATGGTGTAGGACTTCAAACCTTTTAGATACAGTTGTTGTATGAAATTTGCATTGGAAGTTGTTTTCTATCTTGTTAACAATACTATTATAGTTGCAAGTGGAATACCTACTAAAATTCTCATTTATGAAACCAAACTAAGGCTGTTTAAACGAATCTCCTTCATTATTATTTTTTTAATGTCCATTAGTTACTTTCAACAATTAGCAATCACAACCACCACACCAGATAGAACAAATTTTGAAGTAAAAGGCAAGCACAAACATTTACAATTTTTTCATAATGAAAAAGCATACGGGGATACCAAGGATATTGGTTCAAGCACAATCATCCTCTATGCAGAAGAAGTGTTCAACCTGACCTTGCTAGTCTTGACTCCAATCTTAGCATTAATGTTTAGTTTCTTCACCTCCAATGCACAGAGATACTATAACTTGTTCGAACTCCACCTGAGAGTCACTATTCTTATGCTTCCCAGTCAACGTAATTGCTCTTCGCAGTCCGTTTCCTGTTCAATTTTGATTTAGATTCATGCTATAGTGTTTAACTGTAGTGTTGAAGTTTTAACTGACCCTTAATTGTATGAAATTTCAATTATAATGTGTCGTGTCAGGTCTCAACCCATTTATTAAACAAGTTATTGTGTGTTGTGTTGTGTTACCGGTTATTTGAGTCGTGTTCGTGTGAGGGTTTCTTGATACGAATAATAATCGTATATGTTCATGTCAACCCATATAGTTTGATACACGTCTTGAACGACACGAGCACGACACACCAACATGTGCCATCTCTAAGGGAGTAATATCCAACTGACTTATTGTTTTAATGGAATTGTTGCAACTCCATTGAATAAACTATTGTTAGCCATATTTAAAAATAATAATTCAACCAACTAAAGTCACAATAAATAATCCAGAGTACATAGATAAGAAAAGGCTACTGCAGTTTGATACATATGGGTGCTGACAGGTCACTGGCATGCATGCCAAGATGAATCGGTCGAACAGAAAAAGGCCACTGTGTAGTGTGTGATGCATAGAAAATTGAGGACTGAAGAATTTGATGCTGCTATGCAAAACTGAGAGCTAAAAATTTTTATGGACTTGAATGTAGGAGTTGATAGACAAAGCATTTTATCATATTAGAGATTTTGGTCATTGGATGAAAGCTATTGCAGTCTGTTTGTTTGTATGTATGAAGAGTGGGTTTAAGTTGTTGATTTGTCTGCTCAGTGGTCTCTTTGAATTATAAAAAATAGTTTGAATGTCTCCTGTATCATTTCCATTATGGACAGAAAAGAAAAGATCATTACACTCTATTTTTGTTTTGAATTGCATGAGACACACAGTCCATTGTGTGATGTTTTTTTTCGAAAGATTCCATTGTGTGATGTTACTGTTACAATAGACATTATACTTTTGATAACCATGCTCTAGTCTTATCGTCAATCAAAAAGTAGTAACTCGATTCTTCTTCTTTTCTGCAATCATGTCTTTGTGGGGCAATAATTGTTTACGTCTGTTGTTTGGTTTATTTGTTGTGAATGCAGTGGGGTGGTGGAAGCGAATTTGGGAGTGATCACTGCTTCCAGTATTGGGATGCTGAGACTGGTAAATAGGCGGTTTCCGCATCTTGGTATTTTATTGAAGATGAACTGCTATTTGTATAAATTTAGTGTGGGAAGAACCACTCTGTAAAGAGTAGTATATTCTGATCTTTCTTCTGGAAAACATGGGCTTTCACCCAGTGGAAAACACCTAAATTAACAGGTGGTTGACTAATATTATTACATTATCCTTCTACACTGCTTCTCTTATTTTTGTGGAGCATTAAAAATCTATTCTTTTTAAGACAGAGACACTGTATATATTATACGGGGTATATAAGTATATCGCCAATGGTGAATGAATGAATTCTTTCTTTATTATTAACTATATGTGTGTGTGGATAATGATATTTTGTTCACCGATGTGTAAGAAATTAATTTGTGTCATGCGGTGATCATATCTAACGGTCGTTCATACATGGTTGGCGATGAGCAAGAGACCGATTCTGTGTATGTATATATATATCACTTGCTATGATGTATAATTACATACCAAACCAAACTCTTCTCTAATTTCCATACGCATCCAATGTCTCTCTCTCTACCACCAAATAACCCAAGATATTCGGATTTGGTTTTAATTTTCTATGGCTTTCCAGTATCTTTAACTATGTGTGTAACTTCTGTTCTCTTTCTTCTTAGATTCATAATTTCTATCTTTTTCTCTGCATTTAAGTCTTTTCAAAGTGTCACATAAGGTACCTCTTTATGCCAATGAATGAGCCGAATTGGTGTTCCAATTTTTTGTTTCCTAAAACTGGACTCGGAAGGCCCATCGCATTTAAGATTTGATCTAAAACTAGACTCGGAAGGCCCATTTCTTTATATTTTAAATAGTTTTGGTCTTCCTTTTCTTTGATTTTTGATTTTTAATTTTTTTTTTTTCACCACTTTTCTTTGAAATAAAGATGTGTATATTTGTGTTACAATTATCAATTGGAGTTATTAAAAACACTTAGGTTGTGTTTGAAAAATTGAAATCTTGGAATTAGAATTTTTTTTTGAGAAATAGAAATCTTGGGAGTGTTTGGGCAGGGTGTAAGCTACACATCTCATTTGAAACTTGGCTTCATTGAAACTAAACATAACATGAATGCCCGCAATTAGTCAAAACCACCAACCATTTAAGCATAAAAATCATTTGTATATGACTAATTTCTAATTTACATGACTAATTTCTAATTTTTGCAACTCAAATTAAGAAAAAGAAAATGAAAATGATATTCAGCTCTCTCTCATCTAGTCTGACCATCTCTCTTAATTTCATTTTTTTCTTTCTTTTTTTTTTAACTAACAAGCATATATATGTAATCCTTCTGTTGGCGGTGGTGGAGGATTTGAGTATTATGACGGTGGTGGTGGTGGCGGGCGGTGGTAATGGTGTTAATCAACCTGCGTCACCTCTAATAAAAACATAAATTAACAGGCAAATCAACTCAAAATGCATGAGCTACTTTAATAAATCCAAGCAAAGTATCCCCATCAAATTACGAAATATCCAAATCACAGCAACCATCCAAATCAACACAGAAGGAAAGAAATGGGTTCACAGTAACCCACAAAACAAGAAAATAGTAAGCAATACTACTCGTCCTGAAAGCCAACGAAACCTTCGTTCACCACGTACGTCTCCTCCACATCAACGCCTCCATCCGTCCGGCCAGATCTATAGATATAAATATATATAGAGAGATAGAGAGATAGAGAGAGATAAGCACACACACACACATATATATATATATATTATATGTATAAATGTGTGTGTATATATATACATATATAATTATACGTACATATAGATATATAGAAAATAGTAAACTGTACGTACCTATCTAAAAGTCGAAAGGATTCATGGGTTCATTATCGTCGTCATCGTCAGAACCGCTGGACCCATTGCCATTGCCGTTGCCGTTGCCGTTGCCGCCTTTGTGTTTCTTTAGGAACTCCTTCATCATGGTCTTGCTACCTTCTGCTCCGAACTTGTCAGCAATCAACGTCTCTGTCATCCACTTGATGCACTTGATATCAAGTTCCATCTGTGCTTTTTTGGTAGCCTCGGTGTTTCCGGAGAAGGCTTTTTGGAGAATTTTGAAACTCCCAACTGCAGCGCTCTTCGCCGTTTCCAGAAGTGAAGCCACCACGGCGACTTCACTCACCTTCTTCACGAACATTGAACCTTTCTTCAACGCTTCATATGGCTCTTTGTTCTTCTGGCTCATCACGACCAAGTACTCATCGTCCTTCACCTCGAGCTTCTCATCATCCTTCTTCACGACAACCTTGTCCTCCGTGAAAACAACTCGCTCCGTCAACTTGCTCGACGGTCTCATCGTCCACCACCTCCTCAAGATATTGTATCCACCTCCGGCGCCTCCCCCCTTCAAACCCATCTCTGTTTCTCTCTCTCAAAATATCTCTCTCTCTCTGTCGATCTCTGGGTCTGTAGTTTGTTTCCAGAGAGAAGAGAACTATATACAACCCATTACCAGAATTACCCTTCAACTTTGTTAAATTTACCCTTTTTACCCCAGCAATGCATATCTCACCTCTCTCTCTCTGACACACTCACACTCACACGCGCTCATTCACATATGCTTCCTGAATTATAAAGATAAGAGAAAGACTGTTTCCACCAATTCGTACTACAAGAGCGCGTGAAGGTTGTTATAAGCGACAAAAGCACGTCTACACAAAGACGGCGCACAAATTCTGACACTCAGCACTACCTACCTCTCTCTCACTCTCACTCTCACTACTATCATTCGATTCATTCTTCTTAATTTCATGACTTACTCTCTGATTCAATTGGATAAAAAGTTAGTTAATTAATTAGAAGATAAATTAGGGGAAAAAAATTATGAGAGAAATTGTAGATATCATGTTATCTGAATACTATACTATTAATTGGACCTTTATTTTTATACTATTAATTATGAGCCGAATCTTTGTTCCAATTTTTTGTTACAATCCTAATTGTGGATGAATTATGATATGTAAGTCAAATAAGCTCTCTCTCATCCCTCTTAATTTCATTTTTTCATTTTTATTTTGTTTTCCTGATATGTGCATCGATGGTTGCTACAGTTGCTGTTTTGGCCCTATTTGAGATCTACTTATTTTGTTTGTAAAGTTGGCATATTATATAATAATGTGCTTAAGCTTGCGGGGAAAAGAAAGAAAAGAAAAAAAAAAAAAAAAAAAAAAATGACCCAACTTTTGTTCTTATGGGATTTTGAACTCTTACCTTTTATTTTGAAAAATAGATCTTTTATTTTGAAAGATAAATAAAATTTAGACTTATTTTAATAAAAGAAAAAATATCATTAAGTTACAAAGCCCTTTGTAAATAATAATCTTATTTTATTACCTTAAAAAGTTATATATTCCAAATGTATTATGAACAAACATAATTAGTTGTTAAAAATGAAGTATACATTTATAATGATAATATGCCTTACATGTAATTGAAGAATTAATTAGGATCCAAATGAATAATTTCAGATCTATATATTTAAATGACAAAACCAATTAATTAGTTTTTGAAATTTCAATTTTATTTGAGATATTACACCTAGCCCACATAAAATATAAATAAGCATGAAATCAAATGATGAGTGTTTACATAAAATTTTATTCTTTTTAAATTATGACAACTACTATTACTTATTGGACTTGCATACCCAATATGAAATTGTGTGCATATATAAAGATGGATATACTCCTCAGGCTTTCCACCAACTCTAGTACACGCGCGTGTTGGTACTCGATGAAAGTGTGGTGTTATTCTGTTATCGTACAAAATTTGATAGGCTGGAGTCTGGAGCAAAAGCACGTCTACACAAATAGGCTAGAGGCTGGAGCAAAGCACGTCTACGCAAAGAAGATTCCGAGACTGACCAGAAATGAACCAATTATTTACAGAAACACCATCTCACTCTCACTACCTCTCTCTATCTCTCACGGTATACCATTTGTCTCAATTTAACTCTGGAAAAACGAAAAAAGGCAAAGTGAAGTTTTTTTTAAAAAGGTCAAACTGGTAATTGGAGGGGGTTATGGATCATGATCAGAATAAGAGTACGTGATCGCGGGGAATAACACGGTCATGCGCAGCAGCTGTTATATCAGACAGCCCCCGAACGGCAATTTCTCTCTCTCTCTCTCTCTCTCTATATATATATATATAGTATTTCTCACTCTATGTCAATATGTCAAAAGTTGACACGTCTCTCAACTAGGATTGGTTCAAACTCAATGAGCCAATCACTGGCGACATTTTCCCTCACCAGACCTGAATTTCACTGCTAGTATTGTTATAAAAACACGTGGACAAAACGGTATATACGCATACATATATCTATATGTATATCTATATATATGTATATATAAGAGGAAGATGGCACGTGATGACTGGTAGAGCCTTGTACCCACTATTTGTCTCACTGCACATATTGATTTTTACACACACCTCTCTCTCTCTCCAATTTCCACGCGCCGCTGCATATTGATTTTTAGATAAAAAGGAGTCACGCCAGAATGTCATGTAACGGGTATTAAAAATATACAATATCTTTGATAAATTAAATCACAATTTGTAATTTTATAATGTATTGTGTGCTAAAAAATACTTTATTTAAATATGTATATAGGGCATATAACTCATTTAAGTTTTTGAAATTTTATAACTTTTATTTTTTGAATGAATAAGGATTTCACATCATTGAACTGTTCATGAAGGCAATGAAAATATTAAAATGTCCTAAGAAAGTATAAAAAAATCAATTGTTATAAAATGACCATAATAACCTTGAAGAAATGATTGTATATTAGATGCATGAGATTTATATAAAAAATAGATAAGGGCATTTTTGGGACTTCAAAAGGCCATTTTGGATTTTTAGTACAGTCAATCTATCATGTGCCATGCACGTGGTTTTATAATGGTACTTTTCTACGGATTTAGTGCAAATAAGGTCTTGTTTGCAATATTTTTAAATTTTTAATCAACTTATATATTCAAAATAAACAACAAGAGTGTTATTTTTGGAATGCTCTACATAATAAGCTGTGTTCGCTCTTGAATAGTGGTTTGGGCTACTTGCTTGTAACTGTTTTGAATTGGATAAATACTAATTTGTTCATCCGGATTGATTCAATCTATGTTTCACGGTTGAAATCAAATCGAATTGAAATTTTACTAATTTGTTAAGACCAAATTGAATTACATTTAAACTTTAGGAAGAGAAGAAATATGTATGTTTTCTTATTTTTATGGGCTTAAATCATAAAACCTCATTACTATTATTATTTTTTTATCATAAAATATCAATTTATTTGTAAAAATCTCAACAGTATTACAAAGTTGTCACTTTGCCCCCAATTCCGTTAATAAACCGGGTTTGTGAAATGACTAAATTACCTTTATTTAAAAAAACACAAATTCATATTTTACGAAATACAATATTATCCTCTAATATTTTACAAATTGCAATATTATTACAAATTCATATTTTACAAATCACAATAGGGGTGCACACGGTTTTGTTTGGACTGAATTTTTTGGAACCAAACCAATTCTAACAGATTCATAAAATTTGGAATCAAACCGAACCATTTAACCAAATGAACCAAACCAAACCAAATCATGCAAAATCAGTTTGGTTCGGTTCAATTCCACGGTTCTTTTTTATTTTTTTATTTTTTTTTATTTTTTTTTTTATTTTTTATTTTTTAGAAGCATTCATATTATTCACATGTACAACAATAAACCAAGTTATCAACACATTAAAAACTTTTAATTCATTCTTATCTATCACGTTTGGAACTGAAGTAAATAAATTCATAGTTCGTAATAATCTAATACATTTAGAATTACTAATTCAATAATAAACAATTAACCATAATTTAATTAAGCTACTTTAAAAAAAAAAATCTAATAAATTGATAATACCTAAGATAATTAAGAGTTGATAGTTGCTATAAACTTCTAAATGATTTGGATTGTAAGATTATATTATATTATATGTACTTTACAATTTAACATATATACAAATAAATATATATATAATATAACAGTTCGGTTCGGTTTAGTTCGGTCCTAAAGGACCTCAAATTGTAACCAAATCGTATCTTTATGGTTTCACAAATTTAGAATTGTGACCAAACCAAATTGTCCTGTCCGGTTTGGTCTGATTTGAATTTTTGATTTGACCGAATTTTTGGGCACGCCTAAATTACAATATTATCCTAGGATATTTTTGTCACTAAATTTTGATTGCCTAAGCACTTGTTAACCACGTGCTAGGTTAACGGCCCAATATTACAAAATTGGAGCAAAGTGACAATTTTATAATATTGTTGAAATTTTTACAAACAAATTAAAATTTTATAATAAAAAATAATAAAAATGAGAGTTTTATGATTTAAGTTCTATTTTTATTCATTTTTTAACAAAAAGGAGAAGAGTGTATCCATCAGTATGGTGTGCTCACAGAATGTCTGGGGATGTGTGCGCCGTCTACGTGCTTTGCTTTTGCCTTTCTTTCTCACGTACCAATTTGTACCCACCATTTGTCTCACTATACATATCCATCATTACACACACCTGAGACCTCTCTCTCTCCAATTTCCACGCGCTGCTGCATATTGATTTTTAGATAAAAAGGAGTCATGCCAGAATGTCATGTAAAGGGTATTAAAACGTACAATATCTTTGATAAATTAAATCACAATTTGTAATTTTATAATGTATTGTGTGCAAAAAATACTTATATAAGATGTATATAGGGCATATAATCCATATAAATTCTCGTAATTCTGTAACTTTCATTTTTTGAATGAATAAGGTTCTCACGTCATTAGCAATTCATCAAGCAATGAAAATATTAAACTGTCCTAAGAAGAGTAAAAAAATCAATTGTAATAAAATGACCATAATGAGTTGAAAAAATGATCGTTTTTTAAAGGCAAGAGATTTATATAGAAAATAGATAAGGGCATTTTTGGAACTTCAAAAGGCCATTTTGGATATTTAGTTCCATTAATCTATGATGTGCCATCCACATGGTTTTATAATGATACTTTTTAATGGATTTAGTGCAAATAAGGTCTTGTTTTAAATATTTTTAAATTTTTTATCAACTTATATATTCAAAATAAATAATACTAGTGTTATTTATTTAAAAAAAAATAATAAAATTTAAAAGTATTTTATATACTTAACCCTTAAAAAACAAATAATAAAATTTAAAAGTATTTTATATACTTAACCGTTTAATAATTAATGACCAATTTAAGCAATATCAGGGTATGAATTCAATTATAAGAAGTCAAAGAAAGGAGAGAAAAGGAGGTCACTGTTACAAGAAGGCGGGCCACCAAGGTTTTAAGAGGAAGAAAGAAAAGAAAGGGTAAAATCGTAATAAAATAAGTGAAGGAGGCTAGGAATCAAATGACGTGATCGGGTGGGAAGGACAGTTAGTGGTAACCATTTGCTCCTTTGTTGGATGCAGGAATCTGTTATGTTGTGATATGTCCGACCCGTACGCATAATGAGCCAATCATGCAACGCGTGGCTAACACGGTCAGGTATTCCTCATCAGAGGTCACACAGCCAAATCCGAAATCCACTACTTGTTATGGTGAAAATGACAAACATCACAGAAAGACACTTGGAAAAGAGGGTATATATATATATATATATATATATATAATTAGAGTTGTCAAATTATTATATGGTACATAATCATATGTTCCCAGTTACTCACGGATTGCTATGGTCAAATTATTATATGGTACATAATCATATTTAACCAAAAAAATGTTTTGCGTTGAAACAAACTTGTAATCACAAATCTTCTAAGCTTAGCGTTTAAAGATGGTCTCATCTTAGATATGGAATCAAAGACCAATATGTCATTTGTTAGTTGTAACAGATCTAAGATTGAGGTAGTATTTTTGTCAACTCACAGCTAGATCCTGGAATTATGAGGAAGTCCAATTAATTGTGATACTAGCTTACTTTGATTAAATATCTTCTTTTATGATACTAGAAAACTTGAATCATTGAGCAGAACTAGACTTCATGAAAAAAATATTTAAAATTGTATTAAAAATGTTAAATACGATATCATTTTTTTCCGCGCCCAATATTAGGTTAGTTTCTCTCTCAATATTCCCTTTCCAAAATTATAAAGACCCCATAATATTCCTCTACCATAGTCATCATAGACGTAGCATTGAATCTCAATAAATAAGTCATTCTCTACATGTGTATTAAACAATTCTTTATAACTAATTTCGTTTATAAATATCTTAATTTTTTTTTGAGTAATCATCAATTATCTTAAGTCCTAACTATGCAGAGATACAAACATAATCCTAGATTTTGGAGTTATAGTTTCAAATCAATATACAAGAATTATTTACATATCTTTCAATTTTCTTCATTGTGTTAATTATACATAACTTCAATATATATATACACACACACCCCACACACACTCTGTTTAAGTAAAAATTTATAACTTGGCAACTTTCAAAAGAAAATATAAGAACAATTGAAGAAAAATGAAACTCACTACTGAACTCTCCCAAAAAAAAAAAAAAAAAAAAAAATTATGTCACATCTTATTAATAATAAAATAATAAAAAATACTTCCGTGATATTTATCATTTTCCCTCAAATATTACATATCAAACTCGTATTGCGCTGTTGAATCACCTAAAGATAGATGGTTGTCTCGTATTGACTCTTGAGAGCATATATTCACTGTAGACTGAGCCCAGAGAAGGAACAGTGGAATCCTGAAGTAAGCCTGCAAGCAAAAACGTCATACAAAGAAAAAACAGAAAAAAAAAAAATTTGTTACGCAATTCGTATCGACAATTGACTTTATCCGAATTTATTACAGCACAACCATAATCGTAACCATTACTGCGGACCAAGTCGAATACAATATCAAAAGCCTCCACTCATGAAAAGGGATTTTGACCTGGCCTTAATTTTTTTTTTTTTTTCCAAACAAGTTCTATATTCCAAAAAAAGTATGACCAAATATAATTTAGTTAGCAAAAATGAAGTTTATATTTATAATGATATGCCCAATTTTACTTGTAATTAAAGAATTAGGACCCAAATGAATTATTTTTAATTTATATATTTAAGTGATAAAATCAGTTAATCATTTTTCAAAATTGTATTTTTATTTGAGAAATTGCAGCATCATGTGTGCCCTACAAAATCAAAGTGGTGAGCGTTATCCACTAAAAATTTTCAATTAAAATCCATAAATAACAAAAACCGACTTATGTAACTATCAAAGAACAAAAATATAAGGGAAATAATTTATTAAACCTATTTTTATTGTAATCCTTTATAAACTTTAATTATTAAAGTGGCTACAAAAATATCAATTTTTATAACATTACTTGCACGATTCTTCGATTCTTCTTTTTCATTCTAAATTCTAAGTTGCTCCCTTTATTTCCTTCCTCCCAGTCAACGAAACCATACGAAGGAAAGGCTCTTGCTTTATCCAAGTTTCTATCATCTCTGAAAACAATAATAAAAAGAGGGTTATGATGCGAAATTACCTAAGACGACGATGAAGGCGAGATTTTCCCACCTGTTTGATTGTTGGGTGCGAACACAAATCCCTAGATAGTTTGATGCGTAGGCAGTGGTAAATCTCCATAACTGTCTGTTTCTGTTGGTATTCGTAAAATTCATGTTGTAATGTAATTGTTAATGCTTTGCTTGCTTCATTTTTGTTTTGTTCGATTTCTTATTTTGATTTCATTACTCCTCTGTTTCAGATTTCAAAAACCCTAATTTTTTCATCTTATGTTGCTAATTTATTATCTTCTGTTGAAATTTTCCATTATTTTGGGTGGATAATTTATGCTTCATTCTTAAATTTCTAATTAAATTTGGTTAATTAATTTTGGTTCCTTACTTTTTCCGGAGAAATGCTCTTTAAACTGCTAACTATGTTGTAAGATAGCTTTAACTTAATAGTTAATGAAGGATTTTGAACTTGTGTGAGCTTGAAGAAATGGCAAAAAAAAAAAAAACAGAAAAGAAAAAAAAAGTTGGTTGTTTAACGTTGTCTATTGAACAACAGTGATATTTTTGCAAGAAAGTGTGAAATTGAACTCATGAGATCAAGGTCGAGGTTGAAATAATATAACTTTGTAATTTTGGAGGTAAGGACTACAAAGTTTTTTTAATTGGCATTCAAATGACGGACTATGGCTTGATTCTTTTTGCCCGAGAGAGATGTAGGACCAAAGAAGCTGCAAGCCTAGTTGTAAAACTTTGTGCTGTGTTAGCATAGAATCTGCAAGCCCAATGATTGTAGACGTAGCAGTAAATGATAAAAAAGACCAATGGTTATAAATAGACTCAACTATGGCTTGAGATCTAAAAATTGGGAGGTTGCTTCGTAAACCCCTCTTCACTTATAATACCATGTAGTAAGATGTTGATGGAGCTTCTTTACTTTTGTTGCATATTGTTCTCAATTGTCATACTTGTATTTTTGCACTTGGACAATTGTAGTATTTTTTTCATTTCTATATCCACTTCAAATCTATTTTTCCAAATATCATTTGTTTGTTATTTTCTAACATTAGTTATGTTTTTGCAGTTTGTTGAAAGGCGCTTGTAGTTTGCTACCATTAAGGGAGTTTTTCCATTGTCAACAAGATGGCTTACGAGATAACTGAACAAAAAAGTAAACAGTGTTACTTGTTGCACACAGGAGACTGATACATTTTTTAATTTGTTTAAGTGGTTTTATTCATGCTTGAATTTGTCTCATCAAAATATAACTTCATCATGTCCTCTCAAAGCTGTCATAATATAGCCATGGGCACATTCTCTTCATTGTATTGCTACAAAAATTCCTGGTACATGTGCTTACCAAAAAAATAAATAAAAAATTGCCGTTACATGTAGTATGTGTGTTACATGTTGGTATCTTTGGCTTTGATTGTTTCATCAAAGATGTCTAAAAATTTATTACACTGAGGTGGCTTAAGTTTGATCTTTCTCCCCTGCAAGTTTCAGCTCACTGTGTTGTAGTGTATCCAAATCACATACTGTAAGAGAAGAGGGGGAGGCGGTGTTGAAGAATCCATATAATTTATTTCAATTTGGTTTGTAACATTAGAATTTTGGCTCTTATTTTTTTCAGAGATCGGACTAGGTCTCATCGGTTTCGGAGTTTTTTTCTCATTTCTTGGTGTACTCCTGTTCTTTGATAGGGGCTTGCTTGCTCTGGGAAATGTGAGGCTTGTTTGTAATATATATACTATATTATTATTATTATTATCAAAAGCCATAACTTTTTTACTGTTGTATTCTTGTCAATAGATACTTTGGTTAGCAGGGGTGGCTCTTCTACTGGGTTGGGGTTCTACGTTGAAGATATTCACAAATAGATCCAACTACAAGGTATTTTGGAGGAAAATATATGCTAAATTTGTTAGGATAGTTCATTCTTTAAAAGGGTATCTCATGGTTGCAGATTTAATACTTTGAAATATTGCATTGCTTTTTATTTTTTATTTATTTATAATTTTGTACTCTCTTTATCATCCACTTATGAAATGGGAAAGATCATGCAGAATTGGTTAAGAAGTATGGTTTCTGCTAGTTATACCATGAAACATGTTTTCCTCTTCTAACAGCGGTTCTGAATTACATGGTTTTTATCTCATAGTTGTTATATGTTGGTTCTTGTTTAGTTTGCCAATCCTCTGACTAAAACATGGGGAATTTCTTTCTGCCTAACATTGTCCATCTATTCCAAACACTTTAAAATAGATTTTGTTGATGGACAAAAAGAAAAACAAAAAAATCTAACTTACCGGAAAAGAAAAAGGAACTGAATTATTGCTAAGTTTAAAATAGATGCCTGCTTGAATAGTAGAATATGAGAATAGTTGCACTTCAACTGGAGATAAATTTCATATTAGCCTTTTTATTCCCACTGCAGGGTACCTTGTCTTTTCTTCTTGGGCTCTTCTTCATATTTGTTCGTTGGCCAATAGTTGGGATATTCTTGGAAATATATGGTTGTATAGTTCTCTTCGGGTTAGTTTCTAGTTTTAACTCCTTTACGACTTCTGTTATTGTGTTATTACTAGCATTTTTAAACTTATGTTGTTTTGGTGTTTCTTTAAGTGAGTTTTGGCCATCCGTCAAGGTTTTTCTCTATCAGATTCCTGTTTTTGGGTGGATTCTACAATATCCTGTTATGGTGAGTTATGCTTTTGCAATTTCTCTGTTCAAGATATGATCAAGGCATTTATCCTTGTCTTCCCCTTGTGCTATGTTTGTTTTGACAGAAATTGTAACAGGTCATACATTTTTCTCAAGCAATCTCATCAAACATAGCTTAATTGTTCCACTTTCCACACAGGCCCCCCCGCCCTTTCTACAAGAGATAAAATTTTAGTAGAAGAGCAGAAGTAGTAAATAAGGAGAAAAGGTGTATTTTGAAATACAAAGCAAAATATATAGACAGATTGTTTGAACACCAATTGCCCCCAAAACTTAAACTGTCAAGGAATTGTCAACAATGCATATCTAGCTCTCACAAGAAGGGGCTTCAAGATCTCCCGCGACCAAGGCAATGTTCTAATACTACGTTAGCAACCACATGCCTTAAACTATGACAATTATTCCAACAACGTTTTCAAAACTTTCACATTAACCTTCATGTGCAGCAATGTTTCACACTTGGGGAGAGAAACAAAAAAAAGAACATATAAAGTGTTCAAAGTTGCATGGATCAATAGAAAAACGTAGACAACGAGAACAAATGAAGAAAATGGGGGACCATATACAAATGAAGAGACCAACTCAAAACATTCTAGAATTGATCTGCCTCATAATTCAGAGATATATGCACCTAAAATGATAGATTATGTCTCCCACAGAAGACTTTGATTCTCTCTTGGTACCCACACACTTGAAAGTAGCTAAAGTTAATAATGCTTAAGAAGCATTCTAAATTATTGTTCGAGGAAATTTTTTAGTTGGAGTTTTTATGGATGGTTGTTTCCACCCTTCACGAGCAGAGAGAAGCACACATATCTCTTTTAGGCATATGGAACTATGGTTGTCATTATAAAATTTTCTACTTTTTACGAAAAAATATATATTTAAGCTTGTAAAAGCCTTTTTTTTTTGAGGAAGCATAAAACGGCATAAGGATTTATCTACATTTTGTGCTTATAAGTTGCACTTTGATGGGCAAGCATTGAATATTTAATGGTCAAAGAAAGCTTGTTTAAGAAATAGCTAATGGGTAAACTTTTCCAATTCACTCCAACTTTCCATTATGGGAAGGAAGGAGGGATGGAAAAATAGATGGAATGGGGAGGAAGGATAAAAGTCATCCCTAGGGAAGGGAGGATGTTCATTCCTTCTTTTGTTTGGTGGAATGGAAGGGAAGGAAAGAAATGATATTATTGTTGAATAAATATATTTTTAAATATAAAAATAAATACATTAAGTGAGGGTAATAAAGTCTTTTCAGTTTTGTCCAATGTATCTTTTTGTCTCTTTTCTTACTCTTAAATTTGAATGGAAGCAAAATCATGGATAGGAGGCATCCAGAATCCATGCTATCCCTCTTCCCTACCAAATGGAAACCTGCTCCATTTCTCCTCCCTTCCTTCCCTATTATTAAATGTAGGCTAAAGGTTTTACCAACTGTAGGTTAAAAGTCAGTCTGACTTTCACTTGCTAGTAGTTATATCAAACATGAAGACAAGATTTTCTGATGTTGCACTTCTTTCTACTGTGATCATTTGATGTCACTTCACCAATTGACCTCAATAATTTCTTATATGATATATTTTCTTATGGAACAAATGCTAATATATATATATATTTTTGTCATGGTTACTGAACAAAATCCATCTTACCATTTCAGCTTCTTGATCGCCTGAGGAGTTGATACTTGATTTGGGCTAATCAAATTTATGGATCAGAACAGGGTTGTCATCCCCTGCTATTGGCCGTAGTTAAATCTCTGATGATTCCAAGCTGAATTTTTAAGTGCTCGAAGAATCCAACATTTAGATGAGAGGATGTTAAAAAACTTGGATATCATTTGTTGACAGCAACATAGGGAAGCAATTTTCCATTTCTTTCAGAATTTATATGTTTTCAAATGAATTGTGTAAAATGTGGTGTTCAATTATGCCAAGCTTGTAACTGTCTGGCTCAATCTTATGGTCCATGGCGCTCAAAAACTTTTAATTATTGCTAGATTTGTAGCATTTTCAGTAGTTTTTTGTGCCTTTGAGATGGTAATAAAAGTCTTTATTTATTTATTTATTTATTACTCTTTATATGTTCTTTCATTTCTGAATGCAATTTGTACAAGGTTGGTCAAAAATTTCCAGATGATTGTCCCATTGTGGCTAAACCTATAATGTACCTTGGGTTGGCTGAAATGGGCTGGAAACAAGGGTTTTCCTCTTGGCAATAACAGGCTACATTCAAGGTACTGGTAATTTGGGGCTGCTTGGATCAGGTTAGTATCTAGTTTTGATTTAAATGGTTATGTATTATAATGCACGCCTCTTTGTTTAATTTCAAGTAAAAATCTGTGAATTTTGAGACTTATTTTATTATTATTATTTTTTTGGGAAGTTAAGGATAATTTTATAAATAAAATATGTAAGATTTACATAACAAAAGTTATAAGATAGGCTGGTCCACAAACCGTGGACAGCCCACTCGCAAGAACCTTTTACAAACCAAAATAGTAAGCCCAATAGCTAGATCCAGTATAGCAACAAAGACAATATTTAGTGTAAGACGATGAAGACTATGCTTGTCTAAGGCATACCCACAACCGGTGTAAAGCAAAAGGGTGTGAACCCTAATCGGAGCGATCAGGAGGCTCCGGTGGAGGTTTGATGAACGCAGACAAATTCCATTCAAGCTTAAGCCTTCTTGCACATGGTGAGTTTTGTAACAGCTTTTGCCTAACAAGATCAGTAATCTGTTTGAAGATTGTGAGTTGATTGCTCCTCTGATTTTTGAAGATTCGGTCGTTGCGCTCTTGCCAGATCCTGTTGATTGCAGTGGATAACACAAGTTTGGTCGTTGCGCTCTTGTCAAAGCTCATACTCCCAAGTGTTATTTGAATATGAGTACCGCTTCTCTCTCTAAGTGATGTTAAATATTGAGTTTTGATTTGTACCTCTCCTAAAAGCCTTTGTAGACTACTGAAAATTGACATTTTTTTTTTTTATTATTATAGATTGTTTTTTTCTTTTACCTATTTTTGCTTAATAGGATGAATGGTTTACATAGTAACACCATGTGTAGGTCCGACTTAATTATTGAAGGGATGAAGAGGATATAATCGCAGAAACTGTCATCTCTGTAGCATTTTGAAGGGCACATAACTAAGAAATAATTAAAAGTGTTAACACCGAGTAGAATTAGAATTAAAAAAAACTCCTAAACTAAAAGAAAGAAAGCTATCAAGTTACCTCTATATGACACAATTGACCTTATGATTTAATAATAATTATTTTAAAATTACAAAAATACCCTTCAGTGGGTCATCTTCCTCCTCGCCATCTCTTTTCTAAAACTCTCACCTTTCTCTCTCTCTAAAATCTTTTCCATCTAATTCAATCCCAAATTATCTCAACCATTTACTTACATCAGTAAGCAAACTAATCTCCATCATCCACTAACAGATGAATAACACCTCTCTGTGATCACTTTCTCTCTCTAAACAAAACCCAACCCAACCAACCTTCCAAGACCAATCCATGACTTGTAGCCCCAACCATCACACCACCCTTCGGAGCAGGTGCCGGAGCATTAAATTTCGGCTCAGAAGCAGCCCACTTATCAAATAGAACGGCCCTGATCCGTCCAATTCGATCCTTGTGTTGCCATCGTTACACACACACACACATATTGACCCAGTACATAGCCGTGAATTTTTTTTTTTTTTTCCTGAATTGGTTGTGATTCCTTCCTCCTAGTCTTCGATTTTGCTTTAAAGAAAGTAAAATAACAATATTAATTTGTGGGGGCCAAAAGTGTATCCGATTTGCTTCTTTTAACTTTTTTTTAGGGCTCAGCTGGTTTTGAGGCTAAGGATTGCTCCATTTGCAAGGGTGAAAATGTGCATGGCATAAAGTTATTGGTTACTTTGGTTTTACTGGGTAAATTTTATTTATTTTTTATGTCTCACTAAATGTGTGTGCATATTAGGTATGGGTTATTTTGAAGATGAAGAAGTTGGGTCACTTTTGCATACAGTACGTTTTGCGAACAATCCACAATTTGTTGACAAAGAGGGGTTTCTCCGTCTAGCTTAGAGAGACTGGAGATATTATATCTGCTGAAGGAAAGATTCCTTGATCACTAACCAGTGCAGTAGCATATATAATGGAATGCCAGCAGATTAGTTAGAAGTTTGGTTTGCATCCATGATCCATATATATCAGCTTAAATATTACTTGGGTATATGTATATGGTTGGGTAGTGCTAGTGGGTACTTTGAGTCTCATCAATGGGGGAAGAATCTTAAGTTCTCCGGCACTGACCAAAAAGTATATGATTGGGCATGGCATGTAGTTGTAATGTCCACTTTTGATCAGTCTTTGTTCCAATTTCGAATCATTTCTGTGATGCTACTAGTAAAGAGAGCTTCACGAACCTATGAACAATGACCAGTCTGGGGATTGGGACTTCACCCAACTCCGCAGCTATATGCAAGGATGGGATTTTCCGGTTATACTAAAGGGTATTTTTGTAATTTTAAAATAATAATAATTACTTTTTAATATAATATTAAATACTAAAGGTTACTCTTGTCATTTCACAACCGATACGAGGGTAACTTCATAGTAGTTTTTATTTATTTATTTATTTTTATGTTCAGGGAGTTTTTAAATTTTATTTGAGATTTTATGATTTTAACCCATAAAAAATAAATAAAATAATAAAAGTTGAAAACCCTGGAGCTCAATCAGGTCCTGAGCCTACTACACTTTGTTCTACAACCATTGGTTGGTAGAAGTGCTTGTCCATGAGAATAAAGGCTCCACTCAACCTTAAAAGTGCCGAAAAAATGAAAAAAAAATATTACTCCAATTTTATGATGGAAGGACTTGTGTTTCTTGTGTATATTGATAGTATGGTCACTTCAACCTAATCTGGAGTCACCAAGGAGTAAGGAGAAATATTAATGCTGTATTAAGGAACCCAAAGTTCAATCCACTGGGGATGTGATATTATTCACCCACTCTTGAAGAAAAATAATAAGAAGACCAATAAGAGACTAGTTGACATGCTCTTGAGGGACTTGACATTCACTGACACAACATCGGTTGATCTATCCAGTAGGTTGGGACATTAATTAACACTAAGGTGGTTGGAAATTATGGAACAGGTCTAATAAAATAAATTATATTATTTTATTAAAGCGACCATTAAAAACACCCTGATTTAATGCTGCCAGTAAATTCTTCTTGGTGGATATATATATATGTGTGTGTGTGTAAGGTTTCCTTTGTATTACAAATTTCATTACATTGCAAACCGTCTCCAAGAAAGTAGTTACTCAAAATTTTAGTTGTTGATGAACAAATTCACCCCTCCTCAAATTTTCCTAAAAAAGTTAATTAATTTGGAAATTTAGAAAAAAAAAAAAGAAGGAAAAAAGACCCTTGGCACAAAAAATGTTAAACCAAATTTGATTTACGAGTGGAGAAATCTTCAATTTTGTGTACGGAAAATGACTGTCGATTGCACTTGTCTTTACATTGTTATTATTATTATTATTATTATTATTTGTTTAATAGAAAAACAAATATTAAAGTTTCTTAATTTTTACAACGAATTTTGTTATATATATATTTTTGACATTTTACTTAAAACCTAGTTAAAAATTAGCTACTGATTGCTATCCATAGTAAGTTCAAGTTCCACTTACAATTTAGAGTCACCATGACTCCATGGTGTAAGCATGGGTGTAAACAAAATCTACTTACAGTTTTTTATTTTTTATTTTATAATATAGGAACTATGTCCAATCCGAATAATCGGTAATATGAGGAAGTTATGACCATCAACAATGGTCCTATCTTTGGTGGTGTTGGAAGAAAAAGATAATAGACAATCTAACGTGTTGAATTTTCTTTTGTTTTTTTTGGTAGAAAATGAATCTCAATAACGGCATTGTGTGTGAAAGAAACCAACACTTGAGGTTAGTTTATTCCATTCTAGGATCACCATATACACATGCCTGGATTTCTACTGGGGCTTATAGAGTGCATAATTGACTCGCCATACTCGATTTGCTTCACTCATATTAATTGTCAGAAGACTTAAATTCAAACATTTACTGTACATAATTATTGCTATGTGGTTGAGGTTAATGAATCTGAAACTATCATTATTATCAGTAGAAGTTCCTTCCTATCCTCTATTGATGCACCTCTTTTTAATGCATGGCATCACTGTCCCTCAATTCTGGACCACCCAAAAAACCTGCCATACATTTTTTCAAACACCTTCACATTTAGTTTTCTCATTGATGAAGGTACACTATTTTTCAGTATATATGATGGCCTGTATCCTCACCCTTTAGATGAGACTATTGTATCCCCAAATACATAGATGTATTTTTGCATAGATTAGTATAGTTTTATTGATAACGTTATTTTTTTTTGAAAGTTCAAGCAAAAACACACACACGTTGCTTTAAAAGAGTAATTTAATGTACTTAAATTTGGTTTTCGTACCAGGCACCTAACTGGTGACGGATGAGGTCAAAATCTATGCTGGTTCTGAGACAGAGAGAGGCAAGGACAGTACCAAAATTAGATGGATTAAATTTATTGATGGGGTGGCATTATATAGCACAGCATGGAGTTAGGTGGAAATGACACAAATTTGGGGATGTTAGATGGGCAATGAAACAAAGGGAAGGGGGCCTCAGAATACGAGGTCATTAATCTTTTTCTGGTTTTGCAATACTTGCAAAGGGGGGAGAGGAAGTGGTGTGTGTCGGTATAGAGCAGTAAGAAACATTAAATGGGTTCATGACCCAACCAACCAAGTGAAATGTGAGAGGCTCTGCAATTTATTATTGTTGTTGGCACTGGTGAACTCCTCAAAACACCACATTTATGCCCCTCTTTGCAACATCTAACGCTAAGAGAGAGAGATATATATGTGGAAGTTATGACATTGATACGTGTTTATTGAAATTGCCACCGAACTAATGTGACGTTCGTACAAAGAGAAGATATTGAGTGAGTTAGACATACAAGGACATTGCTATGCTCAATAAGTTGCCTAAATATAGTTTTTGAGAAAGAAAGAAAGAAAGTTTTAGAATTCACCATTTGAAGAATACTTTGTGGTTGGTGACTAAATGACAATTTTCAACTAAATGGAGCTTATTAATTTATATTAGAGTTTTAGATAGAATGTAGGAGTGTAACAAATTGGGGGTGAATTTTGTAGGAACCCAATGAAATTAAAAGGATGAATCGTTCATGAAACAAACCAATAAGTGCCCACCTCTCATGTGTGTGTGTGTGTGTAATGCAGTCTCAACTGCCTTTCATTTAGTGCAAATTAGGATTTGGGGAAAGGCATTGAATACATATACCCAGAAAAGGAAATGCATGTTTGACGTGATGGAGTACTTGTATCCAGAAGAAGAAGTGCAGGGTTTTGAAGACATGGAAATAATGTCATGCAAATTAATACATGGGTTAAAAGGGTGGTATAACAATAAATTTATTAATTATAATGTACTCTGCAAGCAATTAATCTTATTCATGGCACATGGAAACAAAATAGAAGTGACATAAAATAAGGTATTATTATTTAATTCAAGTGGTGAAAGTAGGGTGTGTGTGACATCTAAAAACAGAGGTGCAAGGTAACCGGCCATTTTTTATTCTTGCCCCCCACACAGAAGAAAGATGTTGTCATGACAACTATCACCAGAAGTTATTGCACTGATTAGTCAATTTCAAAATTTTCAAGCTTTCTTCTTCCTTTCTTTGTAATACATATATATTCTTGTAAAGATATATAAAAAAATAATTAAAGTGTTATAAGTACATCAAAATAGTCGTGATACAGAATAAGACGGATCCCATTGTATTTACGTGAGTGGGACGTATCCGACAATAGTCAAATACATCATAATTTTAGACTAATTATTTACAGCGAACCAAACAATGGTAATATGCAAACAACAAATTTGATAATCTCAAGCACGCCTGTAGAAAAATTGGCATGTTAATATTTTTAATTTCAATTATATACAACACCAATAATAGTCTAGTTACAAGTGTCTCGTATCGGACCGGATGGGAAAGTGAATGGATATATATGGGTTGGGTGTTAGCTCTATCTAATAACTTAAGTTTTTGGGTCGAATTGCGAAGAATCCACCCGTTACAGTTGGTATCAGAGCCTAACCCAGTCCCTAGTCTGATATCATGCCAAGCGCCCGGTTTGGAGGCATCTGGGTCCCCACCCTGGGTAAACAGGGTGACCCGATCATAAGATTCAGATGGAAAAATGAATGACTATATATAAGTTAGATGTTAGTTCTACCTAATATCTTAAATTTTTTGATTCAGATAAAATTTTACATGAATGTGTGTAACATTTTACTATTAATAATGATCGAAAAGAACCCCCAGCATGGGATTCATTAAAATAATAGTATTAGATTTTGTGCATGAAGAAAGAAGAAGAATTAGAAGAAGAAGAAGAAGAAGAAGAAGACTTTATCTAGAATTTTTTTTTGCTTTGGGGAAGAAGAATATTGTATAACTTAATTAATTAGCATGTATGGAGTTGGATTTTTAATGTGCGTCATGTGTAGATTGGTTTTAAATGCTGTGCAAGTGAGTAGGATTTTGGGGCATTAATGTGATCTCTACTTGTCACCTTAAATGCTTGGCCTGCCCTCCTTTTAATGGGTTTGATGAAGGCAATTTAAGGACCCTCTTAAGTAGACACACCTTCTTGCATGACTCTTAATTTGGAGGGAAGAGGAATTGGATGTCCAAACACTACTTCACTCTCTGTCTTTGTCCCCTCACTTCTCTCAATTCTCTGTTCCATTCTCTTCTATTTCTTCTCATCCCTCTTCTTTTAAGTAGTTAGTGGAGAGGAGAGAAAAGAAAGAAAATATGATCAAAAAACTAATCAAACAAGAGATGGATCATGAAGAAGATCATTTGAAGAAGATGAGCCAACAGTTTTGGAGGACAATGAAAGTTCCCGAGCTTTCATTGGCTCCAACACGGTGTGTGGTCGATGATATCACTAATAATTCATTGCCAGATTCCGAAAATTACAATCTGTCCAGGAAGAGGAAGTCCTATTCTGATCGTCTGCTCAAGAGTAGTACTACTTCTCAACCCTTGAGTCGTCAAACAAGTACTGTTGATCTTCAGCTCAAAGACCCTCTGCCATTGGATTGGGAACAATGCCTTGATCTTGAAGTCTCTCTCTCTCTCTCTCTCTGTGTATCTATATATATATATTCTCAAACTAATCATATATATTTACGAATCTAAATTTTGCACTTTGCATGAAGGCTTTAGATTCTCATAAATATTAATTATATAGTGAATATTGTTGATATAGTTCAACAGTTGTTTATTTGTGCATTAAATGATGAGGATTATATACATCTATTTATATACATGTATATTAATTTTTTTTTTTTCCTGATGTTATGCATGAAATTCATGTTCTTACAGATCTTAATATAATTTCATGGACATTTCTAATTGATATAATAGCTATACTTCAATGGTTATTAATCATGATATGTTGAAGGATTGGTGTCTATATATATATATATATATATATATCTTACGTTGTTTTCTTATTTATAACATGTTATTATTGGGTGTGCATTGGTGTTGCAGTCAGGAAGAATGTATTATCTGAACAGAAAAACATTGAAGAAGAGTTGGGAGTGGCCTGAAGACCAAAACCTAGACCTCGAACTCAACATCTCAACTAGTTCTGAGCAATATTGCAGCAGCTCTGGGACTCTTCAAGATGCCAAGAAGCAACAACAACAACAACAACATTCCTCTACCAATAATAACATGGTAGCTTTGGCTTGTTTGAATTGTCATCTCCTTGTCATTCTATCTAAATCCTCTCCCTCTTGCCCTAACTGCAAGTATGTCCACTCCCTCCCACCACCACCACCATCTACAATCCCTGGCACTGCCAAGTCCCTCGACACCTTAAGCCTCTTGAACTAATCGAGTACGTGGCATCGTGAAAATGTTCAACCCTTTGATCAAATTGAACTTATATATGGCGATCGAGACTAGATAGAATCAACCTTACCTTGCATCGAGGTCTGTGACCTAGTGTATCAAAGAGCACAATGGGATTTCTTGGCTTGGACAAAAGTAAAAAAAAAGAAAAGAAAAAAGGAAAAAGTATTTCATGTTTTTACTGTTGGATCTAGCTATGAGACTCGGCAATTACTATGTATCAGCTAGCTAAAAGTTAGTAGTCTATTTAAGATGTCCAAGTGTACATATGGCAAGTATTAATGAGTAACGTTGGATGTCCCTTTTCACACTTGAACACTTTTAGTGATATAACCATCCTTGCAAAATCCATGATGTTATTGTTGTGAGATAGAATTGATTATGAACTTTTTCAATATATTGTGGATAGTGTGTGTGTGTGTGTGTGTGTGAAGGATGAGATTGTTCAGTTTCCAAAGCAGAAGTTAGTAGGTGCTGTGGCTCTGGTGATCTCCTTCCTGTTGCATGGGAAGTACTTCGTGAATCCCCAAGTGGCGGCAACACATTGGTCCGAGGACTTGTACTGCAGACCAAAAGGTTGGTTAGCAACATGGCTAGTTCAAGTGGTACTCCTTCACAAATGCCTCTGGCCTAACAGTTCCTTATTTCTTTTTTAAAGTGAACCAGAAAGAGTTCAGTTTTGCTTCGTTAAGTATTCCGAAAATAGTTTTTTTGTTTTTCTAAGAATTGAAAATTAGAAAATTATACAAAAACATTCTTGGTTTACAATTTGTGAGAAGTGTGCTTGAAAAATGAAGTTAAAAAATATTTGTTTTCATAGAACTTATTTTTATACGTTCCCCTTCACATTTTACATGGAATATTAGATGTGTTGCGGGTCTAATTGGACCAGGGTGAACCATTCACAAGGGTATTTGATCTGTCTCGAACCACAAATCCTTTTTCAATTGAGAACAAACACTCACTGTAATTGCCTATATTTATAGATAGAATAATGATTTAAGGGGACAGTAATTATCAAATTTAATTTATGTAAATTAAGTGGTGAGTCTCATGTGACATCAACTGATTCAATTTATATGAGTATGAAGATGGGTCTCATCATATGACCACATTAACATAAATTGAATTCGATAATTATTGAATTGAGTCCTTAAATCATTACTCCACCGATAAATATATGAATAAATATAAATATATGAATATACCATACTAACTCAAGAGTAGAGGCTCTGTATATGTAAGAATATGTTCTCTGTTTCATCAAAATTTATCTTCGTTATTCTATGTTTAGAATTAATTTGAATTTTTAATACTTCAAAATGAAATATAAAACTACATCTACTGTCATTTTTTTTTCAAGTGAAAAAAACATTCAATAGATTCAAGTCACATTAACAAGATGCATCTAGTTCATTCCTTAATTAATTAATCTTTACTAAATTACAAAGGACCTTATGACTCAGTGACATCTCCTTCACCTGTCTTTAAAGAAGCAAAGTAAAAAAATTCTCTACTAAATTAGATTTGTTCGAAGACATCTATTTTTTTTTATTAACATGTCATTTTACAAGAAGTTGATTTTTCCTTTAAATTTTGATTTATTGTATATTACTCACTTAGAAAATCAATATCTTTAGAATTCATTCACAATTTTTTATTTTATTTTATTTTATAAATATTTATCTAATATTTAATTTTCTTTGTGTGTATGAGTAACTCAATTATTTTTTTATATATATATTTATGTGAGAAAAAGTTTTTAACTCAAATTTTTTATATATATTTACGTGAAAAAAAAAAATTTCCATAATAAATTAGGAATATTTTTCTTTCTTTTATCCCCCTGGTTGCTCTTGTATTACCGAGGAAATAACCACCTTTCCTTTCTCTTTCACTTTTCCTTTGTCAATTATCGAAACAAAAGGAAAGTCCTTTGATTTCTGTTTTCTGTTTTCTGTTTTCCCTCCAGACCTGTGCAATTTCCCTCCCGATGGGAAATCAACAGCAAACTCTGGAGTCTGGACAATTTCATCTTCGTTTCCCTGGCCATTGGAACTATAAATCTCAAACATATGTGCATCTATACCATAATGTCCTTTGAATTATTCGATCCTTAACACTTTCCTCTTTGTCGCTTATGCAATTCAAAGCCTGGTTCTATCAAATCTGTTTTTTTGTTCTTAAATTGTTTTTCTTTTCTTTGAGCTTTGGGAAATGCCAGCGTGGGTTTCAAACCTAAAGAACCTGAGATGGGTTATTCTGTTAATGGGTGTTTTGAATTTTTTCGTGATCGTTCTGTGTGTGATTCTAATAATTGTGGTGTACCCAGTTTGTGGGCATGCACATACTATTCCTTTTCAACTCATTTTGTTGGCTTCTTGCGTCAGAATTGTTGCCACCATCCGAACTGGGATTGCGCAGCAAGCGACGGCCACAATGATCCTCAAATCTCCGGTTGAAAGCGAAATTGTTGATACTGTTATTCGCCATGAAAGACGGGTACTAATGCTTATTGTTTGACAAGAATTAGTTTGTTTTTCCAAATTATGTCATGTTCTGCTAATTCAATTTGTATATCTGTGCATTTATTTATATGTAATGTATATTCATGGGTGTTAGTTGTTTCTATTATATCCTAGTTGTTTTAATAGTTAACACTAGTTCATTTACCTTCCGAATTAAAAAATAAAAGTTACTAGTGCATTTATTAGTGGCTGAGGCTGTGACCTTAGATAGAGTGGAATGGAACATAGGATTCATGTAGCCGACCCCAGGTAGTTGGGAAAAAGGGCTTCTTGTTGCTGTTGTACTAGTGCATTTATAGTGTGATGAATCTTCAAAGTATTTTTTCTTCATTTCTCTAGTTTCACTTTCAATAGATGCAAGTCTCACTCTTGATGCTTGTAAAATGATTGAAACATGTTGTCTCACCTCCCTTAACTTACCAAGGTAGATGTAATAAAGTATTGTTATTATTGTATCTATCATACAATAGTTTAGTATATTAGACTACTTGTAAATTACTATGTACTAAAGTACTAATTAGTAGCTAGTAATTACTAGTTATTAATTTATCATTGTTCACTAATAATAACGACTAATACGTACTCATATCAAAATCATTGTATAAAATTTATTAAATTTTTTTTTTTTTATAAAAACCAACTTTATGGGATTTTGATATCAAAACACACATATGAATATGATTGATTGAGAGTAAGGTGCGGTTCAAAACATGTATGGCTAAGGTAGCCGTTATCACGATGTAACTACGGTGATTTCTATTCAAAACCTTGTGTACGAGTACAAATCAACTTTGTGTTATGTGAACTTGAGACGATGACATTCTTCATTTTATTATGGACACTTTATATATATATATATATATGAACAATCTTCCTCAAAATCTGCTGCACGACCATTTACCCTGTGTAATAAGATGTAAAATATTTTTATTTTTCTCACTGTACAGAAAAGGTATATGAGATGGCTTTGGTGGACACGATTTGTAACAGTAATTTCGGTGCTGCAATTTGTGGGAGCAGCTTACCTCATCTTCATTGTGGTTAAACATGTTTGTCAACATGGAACTTCAAGGAACTGTGTATCAGGTAAAATGGATGTTCTTGTTATGCTTCTTATTGTCTTGATGCATGCCTGACTTCTTTAAAATATTTTTCTCAACAAGTAAAATTCAGGTATGTGTTGATTAGGATTTTGCATGTGAACCTTGTGAGAATCTTCTACATACCTTTGAAATGTCCAAATTGTATAATCATATATGTTACTACTTATTTGTTATAGAATATCATCTAGCACTGGATGTGGGCATGATTTGATAATGTCTCTGTTCAGTGCTGACTTTTCTTTGAGTCGTCAAAAATTCTCAATGCTTTCTTTGGATGTCTTTGTGCTATAACATTGTTTGTGGATGGTTTGTTGTTGGACAAGGTACTAAGTACCTAATTTTCATACGTGAGGATTTTACGCAGACCAGGTTACATTAAAAGTCTCCATATATAAGTACAAAATAGTTTACTTAAAAATTAATCAGACAAGTTTGTTAGGACCCACCACCTTAATTCTTCTCCTCGAGCTTTTCCCTATCATAAACATAGAAACTCTTTTAATCTTATTTTGTCAATGATCGTCCTTTTGTGTGCTTTCTTTGTGGTAGCTCCATTATTATTCAACATTTCTATTGCAGGGCATGTTTTTAATGGTGCCAAGTGGCAGCGGCATATACTTGTCCTCTTTTTGGTCATGGTATGTTACGTGACACTGGGACAATGTTTCACGGGAACTGATGTGTTACGATGGAGATCTTTTTATGCAACCAAAGATAATGCATGGAAAGCTCATTATCAGGAGGTTTTTGATCATGGAATTCGTGAGGCTTTGTGCTGTCTGGGACGTGTCAAATACTTGTAGGCATCTCTGCATTTGGTTAAGCTACAGGATTTAAATCTATATTGATTTTCTGATTTCCCCCTTTCTTTTACTTAAATAATCCAGGAGTGTGTTTGCAGAAGATGAAGTTTATTCAGTGGCACGGTTATTGGGTGATCTTGTTGCTTATCGCGCAGCAGGAACCGGACATTTGGAATTCTTAGCAGGTTTTCCGCTCTCGTGGGATTTAATATTAACTTTACTTGATAATGCAATCATGAGAACTACATTTTTAAGTTTTGTTATACGCTATTTTGCAGTTAATGCATTTCTTATCTTCCTGTTCTAGGCATTTTCAGCTGCAGCATTTATGTGAACTGTATCTGTGTAATGAGTATTATACTTGAATTTAAATTAGGATTGTACTAATTGCACTTTTTCACTGAGGAGGCTGATTCTCTCTTTCTCACTATCACACACGCCCGTGCCCACACAACCTGATTGATAATAATGATTTTCATTTTGGGTGTTAGGCATTTGAACAAGAATACGGATAAAAGTGAAGCAACTGACTAGATGTTGGATCATATGTTCACAATACTTACAGATATTTTACTTTCAGAACTATATATCCATGCTTCATTGAGTTATCCTGAGGACCTGAGCTACATCTTTTGGTTTGTTCTGATCCATATACTACAAATTATATAGGAAACACTTATGACATTTAACATGTTCTGTGTTCGCATGTTGATTTTGACTTGTCCTTGCACTGATTAACTTTACTTCAAAGTTCCTTTTTTTGGATGACATTATTTTGCAAAACTCGATGCCACTCTCTTCAGGACTAGCTTTACTGCAAGGGCTCAGTGAATCTCCTAAATCATATGAAGACTCTGAGGAGGCACCTGAAGAGCGAATATATGGAGCTGCTACTTTTCATCAATTTGCTGAAGCAGCCTATACGGTCTAGTGATAGGACATTTTTTAATATTATTTTAAATAGTCTATCATGGTAATTTCTGATATTTAAGCAGTACATGGTGCAGGGTATGCTTCTCGATTTTGGACGAAATCCTGTATGGTTTCCTTTTGTGTGGCTCTATAGGCAGGGGATTTTGACTCCATGGAATCGGAACAGGTCATTAACTTATCTGAGTTCTTGCCTCGTTATATGTAGAACTTATATACAAATATTTATATATTATACAACATGATTATGTTCATTTCAGAGGTTCTATTATCATACATTTTCTTTTCATTTTTGTTTCCCGTCTATATAAACCATAAAAGGGAAAAAAAATTGCGTCTCTTCCTGCATATTCGGATTTCAGATTCTAGTGTCCTCGAAATATCCTTTTCTTTTCTGTTTGCCATTTGATATTTAAATGTTTCATATTTAGGCGGCCTTTACTTGAAGGTGATAACTGGTGGAGAGGTCATGCAGCAGCTTTTTTAAAGTATGTTAATGTATCGCCAGACTCACTTCGACGAGGGCGTGTTAGTCAGGTGAGTGTATTGTTATCCTAATATCTTTTACAGTCTACCCAACCCAAAGTAGTGCAGCCTTTTCTCTGTATATGCTGGGTTACCTTCTTTTTATTATTTTGAAGTAGACGATGTGATTTCAACCCACGGTGTCTATTCTACTTAGGTTACACTTGGTCATGACACTAGTTGTTTGTTATTATTCATGGTTGCAATCTCTAGAACACGCAAAAGTTTTGTAAGTGTGCTGTAGTTGTCTGTCCTCTTGTTTTGAAGCTTGAGTTTTGTACATATTATGTTATATCAGTCTATATGACACTCTCTCTTTGGCTTCTTGTCCTTCTATTTCAGGCATCTTGTGAAGCTGCATACTTTATTGTGGTTCTACATCATCTAAAATCTGTTGTGATTGCTGTACGGGGAACTGAAACTCCTGAAGACCTCATAACTGATGGTTCATGTAGGGAATGCCCCCTATCTGCAGAAGACTTGGATGGGTTGATAAAGCAAGTTGCTCTCTCTCTCTCTCTGTATATATATGCTTGTATAGTATGTATGTATCCCTACCCCTCGTGTGGGTGTTGTGGGTGGGGGAAGGAATTGTTTCTATATTTTGCATTCCTATCTCTAAATGCATTTCTGCAGTATGCATAACTTCTCTCATGATTGCATTCTCTAAAAGTTTCTGAATGTGATTTAATGCAATATAATAAGGTGATAATTGACTTCCAATGTCATGCTACTTGATATATATTTGAATATAAATCTCTATATTTAAACAAGCCTGATAATTCATAATTTTTTCTTATTGAGAATTGAGAAGAACTAATTAACAATTTCTCTCAGGAAGTTCTAGTGTTATACAGATTCAGCAACCACCTTAATGTTACTAATCTTTTAATTTTTTAAAGATTTACTGAAAAAATTAGTTTTGAGCTGTTTATGGCCGCTTATGATGCTTTTTAATCATTGCACATGACTTCCTGCTTGAAGTATGCACAAGCTAAGTGGAATTAATATGTTTCATTATGATACAGAATTCCTCTTTCAATGTAGTACTTCTATATTTTTATTTACTGATTTATACATCCAAGCACCTGATTGCAAGGAAGCTAGGATTTAGTAAGTGCTTTAGATACTTTTCTGCTTCATATGGTGTGATTTTAGGCTTGCCTGAAAAACTTGTTAATATACCTTCTTTTTTTTTTTTTTTTTCTTTTTCTTTTTTAATTTTCATTCAGTGGCGATCATAATCACCCAGTTATCAGGCAAAGTGTAGTATCAACTTCACAACACTATGGGCACTCAGGGGTAATTGAGGCTGCTCGCGATCTCTTCATGCAAATTGAAGGAAGCAATGGTAAAGAGATGCCTCTATTCTTTTATTCATTGTGCATTTTAACTCTCCCAGTACTTAAATCTGATAATTCTTTTTATTATGTTTTTATTATTTATTGTTAGGTTTAAATCACATTTAACAGAATCATTTCAGATTTGTTTCATGCAAGCAAATTTTCTTTGACACACATAATTATGCATCTATGCTTAAGTATAATAGCTTTGCAGTCTGCATAATATCCACACTAATAGCTTTGCAGTCTAACATAATATCCAGCATCAAATGTTTGGCATTTTGGGTTTTGATTCCTAGTTTGCCCCAGCAGACTCAAGTTGGTTGTTTCATTTCTTTGGTTCTTTTTGCATTTAGATCTATCTTTTCAGGGTGATAGGGAGTTATCTTGTTTCTGGGGCTTTATGTAGACCATTTAATGTTGACTTCTCCGAAAAATTTTCTGGTGGCTGTCTTGAGAGCATACTTTCTGGAAAATAATTTCAGATTTGAGCTTTTGCTCGACCTCATCTCACCTTCCTACCCCAATATTTATGCATTTTGCACTCTAGGCTGGCACACACACTCTCTCTCTCTTTCTTTGCATTACAGAGTTCCGACAACTACCCAAATTTCAGGTATTTTCCTAATATTTGAAGGAGCACAATATCTTTGTCCTTAATTTTGAGTGTCACCTGCTGTTACATTTTAGCATATAGTGTTTCTTCGTTGTTCTGAGTCTTGTAACCTTTACTATCTTTAGAACCTGCCCTATTTCTTCTTTCTATTCTGCAGCTCCTTCTTGTTTCTATTTACGTCATGCTCTGGAAGACCTAGCATTTCTACTTTCTTTAAATTGTTTTGATCATGCAAGAATTATGCAAACAAATTTCAGAAATATAAATGCATCAGTAAAGGACAGCAGAGATTGATAAAAGTCCTCTAGAGTAGTCAAATGGAGTGTCACACAAATTTGAGCATCTTCTTCACTGAGCCCGGGTAACAAGAAATTGTCAATTCACCTGTTCAGCTTCCAGCCTTTTTTTTTTTTTTTTTGATAAGTAATAATGAATTAAAAAGGCGTTCAAGAGAGGAACGCGTCCCAAAAACATTAGAGAACCCGGGGTCTAAGGCCTTAAAGAATCCAAAAAAGTAATTAAGTCATCAGAAGAGGAACAAGAACTCCTCTTTACATAACTAAAGAGAGAACGAATAATAATAAGTTTCAGTGTCGCTGTAGACGACTCCTTCCCTTCAAACATTCTACTATTTCTCTCCTTCCAGATGCACCACCAAACACAATGTGGGACAAATCTCCAATAATCACGTACACCCCTATTCACACGACATCCTCTCCATGCACGAATCAATTCCTTAGTTGAACGTGGCATTACCCAACACATGCCAAACAAGCCAAGAATAAGATTCCAGCAATCGTGCGCCACAGAGCAATGCATTAGGAGATGATCAACTTCCAGCCTTACACCGCCCGGACTCGTATATTAAGTGAGTTTGGAGTTGTCATTTTGTAGTGATTTATTCTGCAACTTCTTCTGTATATTTTATTTATTTAATTGCTTTTTTAAGCAAGCAATCTCTTCTGACTTCTGCTTTTAACTTGATTATAAGGGAATTTTGTCGAGGGAGAGAGTTGCTGCCAAACTCCTCCCCTCTTTTCCAACCCTCTTCCACCTCTCTTCCATAACGATTTTCTGTTCCATTGTGTTTCTCTCTGCGTCCGACTCTCTCTCTCTCTCTCTCTCTGTCTTTTGGTTAGGAAATACTCGCACACCCTCACAAATGCTCACTATAGGGCTCAAAGCCCTCACCTCCGCTTTGAGGGAGGAGAGGTTATACTGGCCCAGTGGTCTCTCTTTCTCTCTCTCTATATGTTTGTGTGTGTGCATGTAACTAAGTCTTTTCATTTCTAAAATCACCCGAAGCTTTTTCTTTTGTTTCATTCTTTTTCAACTAATGTCAGATTATGTTATTTCAATTAAGTCCTGAATATTGTTGTCCAATTGCAGTGTTGGATTTCCTCTGGCAATTTTTACTTCCTCCTTTACTTTAAAATATCTTATTTTAAGCATGGTTGCTTTTGGTGATAAAGAAAAGTTCTTCGTTACTTGTAATTGTTTTGAGGCCCCAAGTGGATGAATGTCTTATATATAGATTCTAGAGGCACACGATGTCATGAATTTGTGTGGAAGCATGTTGCATTCCCTTTTCTTGGCAATCCTTTTTCATTAACTTTTTAGAGGGTGGAGGAAAAGCTATTCTCATCAAAATTTGGAAGGGGGTTGACAATTATATGTCAGTTCGACAGAGAAAGTGTAGGACAACAGAACCTTTAAAAGGGGTAGAAGGTAATTAAGGTCACTCCACAATCAAACCATAGTGGCCAATGGCTTTGGTTCTGAGGGGTTTACGGATGAGATGATAATATTAGGCTTTAAAAATGGAAGACGGTTATATTAGTTGGTTTTTAGGTTTAATTTTAGACTAAAATCGAAAGATAAAACTTTTTGGATGTCAAAGACAAGAAGGAAAAAATATAAAGCTACAAATGTGTGGAGTCTTTTTTTTTCTTTTCCTAGTTGGTACTTACACATGTCTAAACTTAGACTTGAACCCCTGACCTCCTTTGGGAGGTAAGAGGCTGATATCGCTAGGCCACTGGCCCGTTGGTAAATGTGGATAGTCTTGGGTTAAGGTTTTAACATCAAAAGTTGAGGCTTTGGGGGATGATATATGTTGGTTGTATTTATACGGCTTGCTTTTACAGAAGCATGGTCATCCAAAAACGATCACCAACCAGATTCTATTTGTTCCCTCATTTTGTCCATCTAGTAACTTATGAGCTTGAACGTTTTTCCCACCAATCAAATGTCCTTCCCAAACTTACAGGGAGGAGGAAGAACATTCTTGGTTGTCGTTCTATGGCGTGTTTGTATAAAGCATGGTCATCCCGAAACAGAAAGTAATAATTGGCCAGATTCTATTTGTTCCCTCATTTGGTCCATCTTAAAACTTATGTCCTTGACTGTTTTTTTCCACCACTCAAATGTCCTTCCCAAGCTTAATGGTATTACCATCCCTCACATTCCATTTGTGCCCCTGCTCAAGAACGTTAAGCCTCATAAAATGCTCTTCCTAGTGTGTGATGGGTCACTTTCCCTGCCCCATTATTAGGATTCTAATAGTTAATTTCAAATCTCTGTAGGATACTATATTAGAATATAATATATGAATGATTTTTAAATTGTTTAGAATATTATTATAGGAGTGATTAAAGCCTTTAAATCATTCCTTGACAGGATATTGATATGAGTGAATCATGAGTGATTTAAGTAATCTTTCCTATATCATATTTATCACATGTTTGTATTCTTTCACCTATAAATAGAGGTGATTATTGTATACAAAAACTAAAAGAGAATATAATGAAAGTGATGTAGCCCTTTGGGCTTTGTGTGCCGTGGATGTAGGTTGTAGTGGCCTAACCACGTTTTATCCTTGTGTTGTTACTGTTTAAGTTCTCTGTTCAGTTTTTTATGTCTTTCAACATGGTACTAGAGTAGGTTTATCATACCCTACTCTATACTCTACTCGTCTCGGATCTTTTGGATCAACTCGTCTTGGATTTTCGGATCCACTTGTCTCGGATCTCCGATCAACTCATTTCAGATCTCTGGATCTACTCATCTTGGACTCTCGACAACTTCGTATTTAGTTTCAAATTGGACACTTGAGTTAAAATCTCCATGTACCAACTTGAGGGAGGGTGTTGGAGAATATCATTATTGGAGTGATTAAAGCCCATAATTCACTCCTTGACAGAATATTGATATGAGTGACTCAACGGAGTAATTTTTAAGTATCTTTCGAACATCATATTTACCACATGTTTGTATTTTTTCACCTATAAATAAAGGTGATCATTGTATACAAAAACTAAGAGAGATATAATGAAAGTGATCTAGCCCTTTGGGCTTTGTGTGCCGTGGATGTAGGTCATAGACTCATAGTGGTTGAACCACGTTTTATCCTTGTGTTGTTCACGTTTGAGTTCTCTCTTCAATTTTTTGTATCTTTAAACACAACTTGATTTTACGTTTTAACAATGATTAAGAGTTAGTTTTCCTTTTCATTGTAGATTGGAGGATTTCTTGCAGATTCTAGTGCCTCGTGGTCGTAAATAAGATTCTGGGTTAAAAACTTCAGTTACTCCCTTTGCTCTTTGTTATCACACTAAATGTTTCTGGTAGAGGTTGATAATCATAAGAGTGTTGGAAAACAATATATACAAGTCAAATAGATCCCAAGGGCATTCCTACATCGGGTGGTAGGAAGGAAGCTGGAGTCAGACCTAATCTTTGACGTTATATTTGTAGAAAGTTGTTGCTCTCAAGACAGAAACTAGCGTCCTCATTCTTCTCACTTCGAACTTTTACCAATGCAGTAAAAAATGACCCTACAAGTCATATGGATCCTAATTAGATTAATTTAGAAGGAATTGTAATTGCTTGTTTGGGTGCTATGGCATTCTCATTTTTAATGTGTTTTCTTTATTTTATTTTATTTTATATTATATTTATACTATGAAACTAGGAAATATATATATATGTATATGTGTGTGTGTGTGTGTGTGTGTTTATACTATGCCTTATAAAGGTTGTGACGAATAATTGTTGAATATCTGACTGCTAACATTTAGCTATTAGAGTGTTCAATGTTTTGGTTCGTGCTGTCTGGCTTGTATAACGCAATTGTGCTGGTATGTTGATTCAGATTGATTTTCTTGTCGTAAATGCATCTCACAAGTTCTCACTCATAATGTTTCTTTGATAAAACTTGTTATCTTAAGCATGTTAAAATTGACAGACATGTAGCCCTTGTCTAATTGAATTTAAAATTTGCCTGAACTACCTTTTATTAAATTTTTCCATATTTCGAGACTATTCAATTATATTTCATTCTGCCTAGACTTATTTTCCCTTTTATAATGTTTTGTAATGTTAAATTTAATTTAGGTAGTTCATCCCATTGTAGTGGATTTCTTTCCTCATTGCTGGGAACTGGATGTGAATGTCATGGGTATGGTGTTCGCTTAGTAGGGCATTCCCTTGGAGGAGCTATTGCTGCATTGCTAGGAATAAAGGTATAGGCTTTTGCACTTCAAGGTGGCGTTATTTCTTAAAATATATGGTTCCTCTGTTCCTTCGACTTTTTTCTAGTCCGGGGCAGAATAATTGGATTTCCTAATAAGAAACCCATGATTATAAACTTCTTGATTACATTAACTATCTTGCCAAATCCTTTACTTGTATTTATGCTTGTCCTGCACTTGCAAATAAAAATGTGCAATTCAATGGAAACAGAGCATTATATTAAAGCACTCGATATTTATTTTTTATGGTATCATTTTCAGCATTTCAGAAAAGGAAACCTGAATTGAAACATAGGACTAAAGACCAGCCGACTTGTTAGTTATTAGGGTTGACAGATTGGTCCCTGCAACTCGAATGACTTATTTATCCTCCTTTCCTACATGGGTACTCCTGGGGCACTCAATGGCGTCAGTTCAACTGTTTCAGTGGCATCAAATTTTATACCTTCACCATTTACCATCTCTAGTATGCTTTAGTCATTTTTTTATTTTATTTTTTATTTTGGTTTTCTTTTTCTTAATTGTACTCATATTGTGACTCTTTGGAATTGACTTATAATATTACGATTTCTGTGTGGCTCTATTTTAAAACCAAGGGTTGCACATTGCTTGTTATCATCGCATGGGTTACCTGTAAGCCCTTTTTTCAGATCAATGAAAACTTGAAAAGTGATATGTTCTTTGAATAGATAAGATTTAATATTTGTCCGACCGAGGGATGTCCAGCTTAGGAAAGTAGGGTGCTAGTCGAAGATGCTCTCATTCATCATCGTCGTCATCGTCATCATCATCCTTGCCTTACTTTTCTTTTTTGACCAGCTATATCGCCGATACCCAAACTTACATGTCTATGCATATGGGCCCCTGCCATGTGTGGATCCAGTCATAGCAGACGCATGTTCCGAATTTGTAACAAGGTAATTATAAATGCCATTGACGACCATCTTGATTTTTGTCATTTATACTTTATTTTCTCTCTTTATATTTTTCATAATAGTTCTTCAGTGGGTCTGTTTAATCTATTTGTGTGTATCCGTATCTATACATACTTTTGCCTGCTGCTGAAAAAACCTGATACCACATGTCCAAACCATCTGCAGCATTGTATACAGTAATGAATTTTCAGCACGCCTTTCAGTTGCATCCATCCTGAGGCTTCGTGGAGCTGCAATTATGTCAATGTCACAGGATAACACAACTGAATGGAGCATAATTTCCAAAGTTGCACGCAGATTTATGTCCGTGAGCAAGTATGAAGGAAGTAAGCATGAGAAAAGAGTTTCAACTTCAGATTCAAATTGTAGAGCGTCGACAAATGAAAATATAAATCACTGCTGCATCAATGGGACTCGATGTAGAAATGGTACTAAAGATGCCCTCCCTTCCATGAATATATAATTTCTTTTAACACTGAAGTTTTTTCTTTAATGAGTGACCAACATGAACCTTAACTATAACATTCGGAAGCTATCTTTTTAACGCTAAAACATTTCCCCATCACTGCAGGGAGCAGGGTAGAGGATCAAGAGTCCTCCCTCCGTCAGAACATGGACTTCCAGCATTGTTCTGGTGATGAATTTGATTGTAATAATTCATCAAATAGTTTTGCCAGTCCTGTTTGTAACTCTTCTGCCAAGGTAAATTCATTTGATGATCCGATATCTGAGTTTATGGAAGCGGTTTCTTCATTTAAAGACCAGTCTGCTGGAGATCTCCCAGAGATGTTTCTACCAGGTCTTGTAATTCATATAGTACCACAGGAAACTAGCTCCTGTTTGTCTCTATTTAGAAGCTGGGGAACCCAAGAGAAAATGTGCAGTTATGGAGCTTATATAGCTGACAGAAAAGCCTTCAAGGATATCATTGTGTCACCATCAATGTTCCTCGACCATCTACCTTGGCGGTATCCGATATCACCCTTTTCTTTTTTATTTATTTTATTATTTATATTTAACGACAAGCCTTACAGTTAGCTAGGGATACTCTCCTGATGCCACTCTGTTGTCCATGTTGATATTCTGCAGATGTCACAATGCCATGAAAAAAATACTGGAAATGCGAAATGTCCGAGCTCTACTTGGTGCTTCACAAATGGTGTGAGTACTAATTGCCAAGGTCATTTCTGAGCTCAGGTTTCCCTTCTATGGTTCTACGAGCTGTGTCGATGAACTTTTGCCCATTTCTGGGTGGTGCCAATTGTATGGAATCTAGATATCAAGCAACAACAGTTGAAAAATGGGTTCTTTGCCGAGAAATTATTAGGTGGTTTAGGAACATGTGGTCCCGGCCGGCCAATCCAGGAAGTGCCATGCAACCAAAAAGTTGATGAAGCTGACAGATTTTGTTGCATGGAATGTCTTGATTGGCTAGGACTACCTAAGATTTTCTCCTTCCTTGCCAGCATTCAGTCATTCCTAGAGACAATTTTAGAGCAAATGATTGTTCAGTATTCCAAAAATGATTTTTTGGTTAGTCTTTTCTAATCTTATGTTGCTGTAAATGAACTAAATTGTTGGTTGACAATTGGTGATTAATTAGTTAACCTTTCAAAAAAAAAAAAAAAAAAAAATTTGGTGATTAATTAAAAGTGATATCCTGTGTATTGAATTGGAGACTAAACTTTCAGCTAGTTTATCAAACCAGCTAAGACTCATTGACTGATCATTATTTATATCTCTAAACTTTTCTATTTTATGATTTTGACGCATTTATTGACATAAAAAAAAAAATAATTATACAAAGTAAAATAGAAAAATTAAATGTAATATTTTTACAAGTTAAGAACTTAAGGTGAGTGTAGTGAAAAAGGAAAATGGTATCTCTCTTAATTTTATTTAACAGGAGGAGTTGAACAAGGTTCTCTCTTATTTGGGTTCCATCTAAGTGCCTCCACAGAACCTTTGACCCTCGGTTTTATACTAAGGTACCTATTTACGCTGCCTATTTGATTAGAGGCTTGAAGGTCTCACCTGAAGGGGGTTGGCTTAAGTGGGTAAGTCATTTGATCCTAGTGCCTCATGCAACATCATGTCTAAGATTCAAATTATTTTAACTAGCATCATGTCTAAGATTTGAATTATTTTGAGCGCAAACAAATTCTTTAGAGAGGCTAGCTCGAAAATAAGCTTGAAGGCCATGAAAATAATATTGAAGGTCCCTTCAACAGAAAATAAATTATTAAATAATATTCTGCCTACTCATTCTTTTTTCTTTTTCTTTCTTCCTTCAATGCAGTACTAATAACTAAACCTCTCTATCGTGAAATCAACATACCAATATGCCTATTTAATAACTAGAACTGTATTATTTTAAATGGGTGTTGCTTTAATGCTTTGCACACTTCTACATTCATTCTGCTTTGTGCAACTTATATTTTACTCTCACACTCACTCTCACTTTGTGTGATTTGAAGTATGACCTTGATTGGTTTTTGTCCATACATTTATACGTCTTTGTGCGTCTCGTGACTCATGAAAATTCAATCTTGTCACGCCTAGAATTATAGCAAGTGTAGAGGACATGAACAGACCCAATTGTCAATCCAGAACAATAATTGGGCCCAAACTAGGGCCTGGATGTTATGATATCAGCCTTTATAAGTATTTTCAACCATGTGAATAATAATTATGTTATGTTTTTGGAAACTGTTTTCATAAATTGTTTCAGATTCAAATTTTGCCACCTTAAAACGACTCATTCAATTTCGTGTAACACACAATTAGTTCTGTATTTGACGTATGGAACACAAATAAACTCATAGAGGATTGAAACCTTAGTCCATTCTAGTATTCTAATTGACTTTTACAAAATAATATTAGAATCACGCCATGTCAATTCATCAACAAAGAGTTTGGTTCAAGTTACATCTCCTATTCTTTTTAAAATAAATAATTGAGGGTTTGAGTCACCTATGACACATATTAGTACAAAAGACTTCATTATAAGAAAAAATATTGATTTATCTTTCTTTTTTTAAAAATAAAAAATTAAAATGCTCACACACCCACTAAAATTTAATTTATGTAATTCATACACATCATATTTAATTGGGATAATTACACTTATCTCTTCTGTATATTTTTCTAAATAAAAGGAACATCTCTTATAATTTCAAATATAACATTCACGACTCTTCTAGTTCAGGTATGAGTAAATATTGGTATTCGTTATTATTAAATCTGACACTCTGATTTTGTACTCAAAATTGACTTAAAACCCAAAAAATGATTTAAAAAATTTTAAAATGTTATGTTGCCGGGTAAGTGTTGTTTTTTAAACCATAGAGAGGGTCCATGTTATATAAACACAGTTACACCCTTGTAAATATAAATTGGGTAATCTTCATTATGTTTTTCCATCACTAGCTAGTCAATGGATGGAAGGAATATTGAAAGTAAAAAACATATATTGGAAAATGTGCATCACTGTGTGTGACTTGTGCGCGTGAGAGAGATCCAGGGAACCTAGTCACAAAGGAGCGACTCCAAATTTCATGGCCATTTGTGTAGGAGCCAATGGACATGTATACACGAGTGATGTGATGTACAAATTGAAGTGAAGACTTGACAAATTTTCTCAACCAACCAATATTTTCTTTTTACCGAATATATATACATACATATATATATATTTTTGAACCAACTAAGAAAGACAGAAGAACGTGGACCTCCATGAAGTCCCAAAAGGCAAACAGATGAGAGTGGTTAAAAAGCCTAATAACCCCATAGAGGCGTCAAAATCTTAGTGTTCCCAAACAAATGTTGTTTGGTGGAACCATTTTTGTTTTTTGATGGCATGTGAAATCAACAAGATCCAAATCACATAAGCCTTGTTTGTTTGTTGCCTATTCAACCCACGATTAGACTGAGTTGGACTAATTTTGAGGGCTTCATTTTCCCTAGTCTCACTTGAATTTGTCTGTACCACGTGAATCATTGTCAAAGGATACTTACAGGTACCAAAGTTGTATGGGAATAATTAAATTTTAGTCAAGCTTAGAAATCATAATAATTTTGATCTTGAATTTGATACGAGGTCTAAAGATACATTTGCTGCACACGTTTTTTTTTTTTTTTTTTTTTTTTTATACATGCAACACAAATTGAGGAAAAATTCTAGCTTGAGTGTAAAATTTCTTTACAAAATAAATGTTCTAATTTGTCAAATGATCATCAAATTGGCTTCTTGTCATTTACAAACTTAGACCGAAATCAAGTCGCATAATCCATAATTGTCATATATATGAGTTGCGACAGTCAAGGATACTCATACTGCCGGCCAAACGTGAGATCCATTGGGAGGGCCCACCACCATTCTATATTTGCTTTTACATCTTTATTTCTTTCTGAACTCAAATCTGTTCACAATGCGGATCGAGTAAATTAAAAAATTATATTATTAGTAGGAACTCGGATCCTCTCACCACAACATGAGTTTTTATATCATATTGAACCGCTCACAATTTACACTTATGTGACTGTATGTGGTTAAATATAAAACAATATTTGTGCTCTATTATACCAGATTCCAACATTATTGTTAGGATCATATCTAATACAAAATAAAAAATTATATTACATATATTTAATATTGAGTTGAGATTAAAATTGAAAAAAATTTAGTCCTACAATATTTAATTTTAATTTTAATATTTTAATTCAAAACAATCAAACACAACATACATCAACATACAACACTGATGCAAAGATAACGCAACGGATGACATCTGCAACTCAAACATATTGCACGAGATTGCATTGGTATTAAACAAATGTTGCATTTTTTCAAATACGGAGTAATGTAGTTACAGCCTACAGCTATAAATAAAATTAAATGATCTGATTTTGATATGTGAAATGACACCATACTGTCACGGGCCTAGAGATTTGGCGCAGCGGCACGGCCCGTGCGGCACCAAGGCGTTGCTTCAGCTCGCGCAAGCGCCCTGGTCAGCCACCACGACCTGCCCTCCCAAGGATACATGCTGACTGGTTTCGGCCTGCCATGGCCTCGTCAGGGGAACGGCTCCAGCTCCCGACCAGTTTGTGCAGGGATGGCCAACTCCCTTCTTCATAGTCAAGTCCACGACCAGCGACAAGCACCTCGAACTGAACCGAGTCGACCTGCCTGAACTCTGAAGAGGTACCATCCTGTGCTCCTGCACGCCCCTTCCCTGGAACCATTCCCAGTCAAACTCTGCTCTTTGCCAACCAGCATGCGTGTCTTCCATCCTCCAAGCGTCTTAGGAATCGGATCGTGACAATACGGTCGGTGTAGGGGTTCTGATCAATGATTGTAGTCTCGTAATCAGAGTCAGACCAGGGGACAAACACGCGTCCTATTTGTCTCCATAAAACAACGTTGGTGAAAAAAAAAAAAAAAAAAAACACAGATATTTTGTTGAGCTTGCATTAAACGCCTCATTTTAACATTGGTCCCACGCGCTTGGTAGTGTATTCGACATTTATGGGTTCAACCTTCAACCCAAACGCGTCCTTAAAAGAACGATCACGTGAAAAAACACGCGCTGCCAATGCACAGTCAAGAAACACTAGACAACCACACACGTGGAAGGCGAGCTCACCATTCCAAATCTGAGGCATTATTTAGATGATAACGGCGTTACTCTTTTACTTTTTGAGTCTTGGGCCCGAAACAAATGAAAACGGACCATATGCAGCCCATTGGAGTGTTCTGCAGACAAATGTGAAACCAAATCTTCCCACATCTACAGTGATTGGTAAAACCAAATCGCAACAACATTTGTGAAAAATGCAAAGGTGACTGAATTTATTTCAAAAAAAATTATTTTCTTTAAAACTTAATTTTTGGAATGTGAAATAACAAATACTGTGTACATTTATGATTAGACCACATCAGTAGTCAATAGAGATCACTTACTTACATTTGTGATTGGAGCGATCAGTAGAATTACCTCCTCACCGGGTAGACAATAATTGTCCAAACAAAGGGAGTCTTTTTTTGTGTTTTTTTTCCTCCTCTACTCCCATTTTCTTTTCTTCTTTCCCAGAAAGACGTTTAGCTTTGTACACTCTTATCAACCAATTGGGCAATACGTCCATTAGTTTTTCCTCGGAGTTCAAGAAAAAGTAAGTGTATATATATATATATATATATAGTCTTCGATCTTTTCAAACTTCAAACATGCACTAGTAATGAAAGTTAGGACTAAGGGGCGGCTCATACTCCTCATTAACTTTGCAGCTTAGAGAGAGAGAGAGAGAGAGGATATATGTCAAAAGAAAAAACTAACTTCCAGACCAACCAAACATGATATGATCCCAAGTTTCTTATAAAATCATACACTACCCCACTGAAGGCTGAAGCTGTAAAGCTTAGTGATCTCGAGCTTCGAGGAAGAAGCAAAAAGAAGCGAAAGTTACTGGTTTTTTGAAAGAAGCAAAGGCTAGATACAATGGAGAAGTAGACTATTTCATAAAGGAAGAGTTGATAAAGTGTAGATTAGATAGTTCATAAATTGAATGAAGCATGTATGAGACCCTAAAACAAAGTTTTAGGATATATTTTGACTTGTTTCATGCGTATTCGCTACGGCGTTGGTCCTTGAATTGTCTTAAAAACAAATTGTTAAAGGACTTAATTACCCTCAAAAGACTTCAGGAGCGGAAATAAAGAATAATAATAATAATGATATTTGAGGTGATAAAGCACTTACTTTTTTTTTTTTTATAGATACACTCTACTTTTTTTTTGAAAATGATATTATTGTCTTGATTCAATTCATAAGAATCGAGTACCCATATAAGGGGTATTTATGTCATTTAGTTTAAGAAGAAACAAAAAATGAGAGCATCTATTATCCGTAACGACGATAGTAAAGGAAAATACGGGGTTTGTTAATATATGGATATAATTTGTTTTTCATGTTTGGTTAAAAAAATTCGGCATAAAAAAACAAATTTGTTCAAGTATTATACTTTTTTTTTACAAATTTTTCATTAAGAATTCCAACACATATATGCTATTTTTCTTCTCTTATGTCTATATATTTTCATTCCAAATATATAAAAGATTAAAAATAATAATAATAAAAAAGAAGTATAGAGGGTTGTAGAGAGATGGAGGATTTAAAAGATTCCAGTTTTTGTAGAATTTGGTAAATTAGAGAAAATTTCAGGAGAGTGTATATATATATTTAGATGGTGAATTCTAGTAAATAAATTAATCTTAACAATTTGATTGTAATGCATTCTAGTTGTTTATCAGAAAGGAAATGCTTATATAGTGAAAAGATAACATGGGAAGGATAAATTCATTTAGAATATACATGAATTTATATTTGAATTTAGATACAAAATCTAACTTTAAAATAGGGTTAAGTGCAATAAACCCCCCTAAACTATTGCCCCTTTGCAAATAACCTCCCTGAATTAAAAATCACCCCCCTGAACTATTGATTTGTTGCAATTAAGGACAAATTCATCACAAAAAAACTATTTTACCCTTTCTCATTAAAATTTTCATTTATTATTTAATTATTTTTATTATCTTTTCTCTTATGTAAATATTAATTATACTATTTACCTTAATTTTATTTTTAGTATCAATTTATCATAAAAATGAAAAAAATAGATAAATAGATTTGTAACTACCATTTTCTAAATTGATTAACTTATTATTAAAATTTTATTATTTACAATAAAACGTATTATAACCAATTTAAATATTTTTATTAAAAAAAATTCATTTTTTTCATACAATATATTGATGAAAAATTAGTAAAATACTTATGAAAAAAATACTTTCTTTTCATGTAATATATTCAGTAAAAATTAAAAATTTAATTAATTTTTTAAAAAATATTATACTAATTTTTTTTATTTAAATAATTAATTAAAAAAATTAAAGGTAAATTTTGCAAATTTAATGAAAAATATCTCATCAAATTAGTATGAATTTTTTCATAATTTATTTAGATAAGAAAAATATATTAAATCTAATTCAATAAGAAGGGACACTATGGTCATTTAATAAAATATAGTATAGTCCTTAGAGTATGTTGCAACAAAATGAGATAGTTTAGGGTGTTTTATGTACAAATTATAGTTCAAGGGGGTTATTTGCAAATTTAAACATAGTTCAAGGGGATTTTTTGCACTTTACCCTTTAAAATATGAATATAAAATTATGTATATGCTGGTTAGTTTCATTTAGGGGTGGTGGGTGAGTTGGGCCGGAATTAGGCTGGGTTGAAAATGGGCCGGTCAAACATGGGGCAAGACCCATTTAGAACGGGTTGAAAATGTATAGGGTCAACCCGTTATAACTCGTGGACCCATTAATTATTATTTTTTAACTATTTTTTAATTTTAAATTTTTTAAATTATTATTTTTTAATTTTTTGCAAGATTTTAAAATTTTATTTAATAATAAATAAAAAAATAATCTCAAACTCAGCAATATTTATCAATTCGCTTTATAGAGAGAAAAGTGAAGGAAAGAGAAGAAATTTCTAGAGAGAGAAGATTCATGAGAAACAAATTTAGAGAGAGAGGACCATGAGTGAGAGGATTTTGGAGAGAGAAATGACTTGAATGTGAGAGGATTTTAGAGAGAGAAATGAATTGAGTACAATATAGAATAGGTGTGCGTTATGTGTTTATTATGTGAAGAGTGATACCCATATTCAACCTATTTTAACCTTCAAATTGAGTGGTTAAAAATTACCTAACTCATTTTTGACCCATTTTAAATATGATTTACCAAAAATCATTAAAAAATGAGCGAATATGACAGGTTGATAGGTTGTGACACATTTTGCAATCCCTAGTTTCATTGTTCCCTATTAGTAAAAGGTGTTTTAGTACATTTATTTTAGTATGTATATGTTTTTCATTTTGAAATGAAAGGAAATACCAGTTGGCTCCGTTTGTTTGGACGTAAAATATTTTTCAAAAAATATATTTTTATTTTCTGGTATTTGGTTGTCGTAAAATATTTACGAAGAAAAAAAAATTAAAATTTAATAAAAATAATTTATTCATAAATTTTTGGCAAGTTATTTTACATGTCGAGTCTGATGGACTCGACTTTAATATCTGCGTAGATCTTTGCCAAACACTGATAAAATCAAAATAAAAAAATATTTTATCTGAAAAAAAAAATATTTTTTTTAAAAAATATTTTACGTCGAAACGAATGAATAAGTCTAAATTGTTTAAATAAATAGTGTCAAACTATCAATTCCTCTATTTTTAAATGCAAATTTAAAAAGAAATAAAAAGAAGAAAAGGACAAAGATAATTAAAAAACACATGTAAGTGGTGTAGTGACTGTAGAGATTCTCATGCGGTCCTGACGTGGATGGAACATTATCTTTTCGCCGCGTTGAATTTCTTTGACCTTCACTCCCAACATTAAATTTATATACCTCACTCCCACTGTTCAATCAACCAGCATGCTGTATCAATAGGGGCCATCCACAGGGGTATCTCAGCAAATAGACAACAATTAGTGGGCTTCAAAAAAATATGTCGGCGTAATATATACCTCTCACTCTCACTCCTCTGCTTTGCAGTAACTAGGAGCATTATACCATCACACCATTTTCTTTCTTTTCTTTAGTCAAACTACTATTCAGAGAAAGAAAAAAATGTGATTAATTTATTTCAAATCAACATTTAATTATATGAACCCGTTTTTCTAACTTAAATAAACACATAAGATTTCGTATAACCACCAACCATGTAATTGATACAAATTGGAATATTTAAGCAAAATGATGTTTGGAAATCCAGGTTATGACAATTTTAAATGAATATGTATAATAATTTATGTTTGCATATAGCCTTTTTATGTTCATGTTGTATTTGTTATATTTTTATGTATAACATAATCACAAAACTTAACTATCATACTATCAAGGTCAAATTAAAGACTTGTGACATATTCATTTTTATGAATTACTCAATAATTTTGGCTTATATTAGGTAATTTATGGATTATATTTTAGTGAGAAGTGCTAGTTGGAGTTTGTCAGGGGCGTGCAGATGGACCTGAATTTTTTATTTTTTTTACTAATATACATCTATTAGTTTGTTTTCTCAGTTACATATCCTTAAAATATTACCTTGTTCTCCTTAAATTATTAAAAAAAATTATTATTGTCCCTTTCCAGAACCTTCGTCCTTGCACAGAAACGAATATGTTTTGACGATCACTAACTAGCACATCTTTATTTGAGCTGATTGATTTGCTTAACATTTTATGGTGTTCATCTTAATTATTTGTTTGCTTAATAAATTTTATCTTATCTACCAAAAAAAATTTGTAAAGAAATTACAATAAAAAAGAAAAAAAAATTTTGTTTGTATTATGTCGCATTAAGTGCCATCAAGCTACATAGAAACGCTGTCCTTTGGCAAGCTACAAGCCTCAATCTTTGAAGTCAACCAACAGGGACAGGAGAGCCAACGTGGCAATTAATAATGTAGGCAAAGGTCCACCATGACCGTATTATAATATTTCTCATTCTTTTTCAACACAGCCTTAACCACATAAATAACTATATAATCAGCTTAATTAAATCTTAATTAAACCCAACCGACCATTTAAATTAAAACGTTAGAAATTTTCAAAATCTCTTAGTCAAAATCCTCGCCAAACATGCTTTTTCTCTTTATTTCTTTTCTCCCCATGTACCCATCAAACTGGTCCATCTACTCCCTCTCCTTCACTCCACCCCCTTCTTATATATACCCTCACACTCGATCTACTTTCCCACCATATATACTCCTCTCCCTCTTTCTCTCTCTAGAGGATATATATATATATACACACACACACATATATATCCATGGCAACCAAAATTATGCAAAACCCAAACCTGAACCTTGCTACAATTTCAAGTGACAATATGCGTCAACCGTGCTCGATCCGGCAAGTATCGATGGCACAAAAGACTGAACTAGTGTCATCAGCTAGGCAATCAATGGTTGGTACTCTCACTGCACCACCACAAGTATCAACTATTGCATCCAAGATTGCCCAAACTAGCACGACTTTGGCTCGGGTTTGGAGAGAGGTTCAAGGATCAAACGACTGGGAAGATCTAGTGGAGCCCTTGAACCCTCTTCTCCAGCAAGAGATCGTCCGGTACGGGGAGTTTGTCACGGCGTGCTACAAGGCATTCGACCTGGAACCCACCTCCAAACGTTACTTGAATTGCAAGTATGGGAAGAACAATATGCTGAGAGAAGTGGGTATGGCCAATTCGGGGTACGAAGTCACCAAGTACATCTACGCCACTCCTGACATCAATATTCCGATCCAGAATGTCGCAAACTGTAGCCGTTGGATCGGGTATGTTGCTGTATCTTCGGACGATGAGGTGAAAAGGCTTGGCCGGAGAGATGTGCTCATTACATTCCGAGGTACAGTCACTAATCAGGAATGGATCGCGAACCTAATGAGCTCATTGACACCGGCACGCCTTGATCCTCATAATCCTCGGCCTGAAGTAAAAGTGGAAGCTGGGTTTCTGAGTCTGTACACTTCGGATGAAAGCCATTGCAAATTCGGGCTTGGAAGCTGTCGTGAGCAGCTGCTTTCTGAAGTTTCTCGGCTACTCAACAAGTACAAAGGCGAGGATTTGAGCATAACGGTGGCCGGGCACAGCATGGGAAGCTCACTAGGGCTCCTACTAGCTTATGACATTGCTGAGCTTGGATTGAATAGAGATGAGTACTCGAATCAAGAAATTCCGGTTACAGTTTTCTCTTTTGGAGGCCCTAGAGTTGGGAACTCCGGCTTCAAAGAACGCTGCGAAGAGTTGGGAGTGAAAGTGTTGAGAATAGTGAATGTTAATGACCCCATCACAAAGTTACCTGGGGTTGTTTTCAATGAGAATTTTAGGGTTTTGGGTGGAAGATACGAGTTCCCTTGGAGCTGCTCATGTTATGCTCATGTTGGAATTGAGCTAGCACTTGACTTCTTCAAGATGCAAAATCCTTCTTGTGTTCATGATTTGGAGACATACATCAATTTACTCAAATGTCCCAAGAGACTGCAGATTCAGAAGGAAGGTGCAGATTTTTTCAACAAAGCAAAACAGTTGTTTTGGAGTGCCCACAACTTGAACACGTTCCCAACAATGTGGAAAAATGCTTCCAATTTGGTGAACTTAGTTCAGACTGAAAGGACATGTTCTTAGACATAAAGCAAATTAGGTATGAATATTGAACACCTCAGCCTGTATATCTTTTTTGACGGTGGAGGGGTTTATCGAATTAACATAGATATATCGATGGAGCAGTGAATTAAGTTTTCACTGTCAACATATATGTTTTTAGCCTGTGTAAAGAGCAAGTCATGAGGCTAATCGTATTATGAAAATTCATGATGTATATTACCTAATTTGTTACTAAGCAAGCCAAGTGCTACTTCTGTCAATTCGACCATATACCTTCACTTGAATATATCTGCATATGCTAGCTAGCAATTTGAATCTCCTCTCTCAATATTGCATATTTCAAGCATGAATTCACAGAAGGTTTTCCCAGTTTTTTTTTTTTTTCTACATTCACTTCATTATATGCATACTTCTGTATTAATTGATTTATAGATAAAATAATGTAAAGATATTTGCAAACAGTAAGAATGTTGTGAAAAAAAGGGATTTCAAGTTATATACCAACACCAGAAGAAATTTCATCAGTACATGACATAACCGCAATCAAAGTAACATGAAGTTAAAGATCCATCTTGCATGGAACTATGAACATTATGAAATTTAAAACTCTAATCATTTTGGGCCCGTTTGGCATGCACTTTGTTTTAAGCGTTTTGTTTTTGGCTAAAACATAAATTGTAGAAGTGTTTTGGAAAAAAATCCGAAGCACGTTTGGGAACGATGTTTTAGGTATTTTGTTTTGGTTTTGAGCCACTGTTCATGAAGTGTTTTAGCTAAGACTGTGTAAAATAAAACAAGGCCGCATCAAACACTCTTTTGTTGCCAAAATCGACACGATAGCAGCCCAAAAACAAAAACAGCAGAAACAAAAAGCATGCCAAACGGGGCTTTTGTTTTCAATTTCTTGCATGCTTGGACTTTTTTTTTTTTTTTAATATATATATATTTCATTTAATAATACTCATCTTACCTAGACTGAGACAAAAAGAATAAGATTTTACTACTCATTATGAATATTTAGCTAGTTCTTAATTAGTAGTTAATAAATTAATTTAGTGACTGGCTAAATGCTTTCATATATTATTTCTAATCGATCTCAAGTTCATTGTGATTTGAAAGTGGTACTTACAATTGGTCTGATCAATAATATATATATGAAAAATTGACTTAACAGATGTACTAGTAAAGAATTTCAAAGTGATCGAGGTCCCTTGTTGTCCTACTAAATTTCTTAATCTGACACAATTCATGCATCTAGTCATCCCCTTCAACGTTTTTCAGGTTGAAGAGTCCCAAACACGATCCCAAAAATGTACAAGTTACTTTGCTATATGTAATCATTGTTCACATCATCTCATGTCGAAACTTCTATCATTTTCCTTTAATTATATAGAGAGAGAGATGGAGGCAAGTGCATTTTTCAAATAGCTACTATCATCAGGGATTATTTGCTTGCCAGACGTTCGGTCTCACTTTTACTGTATATATCACCGCTGAATCTTTGACAAATCCACAATGCAATCAAGAATTTAATTACATCCCATTAGAGCCATGAAGAAAGTGAGCCCAATGGATTGTTTGCTTGCCTGTTGTTCGGTGTAACTTTTACTGTAATGTCACCGCTGAATCTTGACAAATCCACAATTTACATCCTAGACTAGTAGCCTGTAAGTGTGAAAATGGGAACTTTGTGTTTTTTGGGAAGGTCAAACAAGTATTCATGCATTATGGTGAAGACAAAGAAGATTAATGGCAGAGTGAAAAAATGCCTTGACATTAATAAAGTGAGTACAATAATTGATACGAATATAATATACATGTCCCTGCAGTGGCACCCAACTTCTACATCTAATATGCCCATTCAAATTTTGATTCTCTAGTAGTTTGTGATCTCAAGACAATATTGTCCAAAACTGACCTATATTCCCTACAACTGTGTATATATATCTTTAGATGTTACATTAATTGTCTTGCCCGGCCAAAAGTTGATGTAAGAATTCAATTTAGTTGAATAAAAACTTGATTAATTATTTAGTCGAAATATATATATATATATAATGGATGTTGGAAAGTTGAAACACACATGGAAAAATTGTATTTAAAGAAAATAAAATGAGAAAATATACACTTATTTGAATTATTCTTTATTTGAATGGAAGAATGAACAGGTCAAAAAAGAGAAGTTAGTTAGGGTTTTCATAAACAAGTAAGAAATATATATATATATATATGAAATAATTTTGGATGGTGATATGTGATATATCCTCTTGGAATCATATATATATATATATATATATATATATATATCAAGTACTGCAAATATATATTTTGGGTTTCATTTTGTACACACATACATATGCTTGTATGTATGAGTTATTATCTATGTACATATAGATGTACGTATATATAGCACTAGAAGCTCATACGTAGTCTTGTATGGAGCAGTACTGTTTAATTCCTTCTTGGATTCGATATTATTATCTTATTTGAAGAGATTTAGGAACAAATTAAGCGTGCGTGTTACTGAAAAGAAGACATGTTTGTTCATAGTATTAATGTTTATTTTGGGTTTGAATCTAGCTTTTCAGAGTCAAATTATGCATACACACTGTTCGACTCAAAAAACATGTCATTTATTTCATATCTTCCATGCAGCTCATGTGTTATGTTGCTGAATTAAGATAGTGGCTAAAACCTAGCTATTATAGACCGGGAATACATTTGTTTATCTATTTTTGATTGATCACTATCACTTTTTTTTTTACCTAATTTGTACTCCAAATGAAATAATTAAGAATAACACACTTTTTAACTTTTAAGACTTTAAAGTTCAATACTATATATGTTTTTGTCTTGGGCTTTGTCCTTTTGATTCGTTGTTCATTTAAAATATTGAGACTAACTATACATGTAGAGAGTGATGTGGCACTCTTTAATGATGCAATTTTTAATTACTTTAGAATTTCAATTCAATGCATCATTCATTGTGTTCATTGTTGGAGTTTTACATTGCTAGCTCGTTGTTTCAGTGCAAGTTATGGCATCATTATGTTCATTGTATGAGAACTATTTGGCATTCCACTTTTAAGTCAACTAATTTAACAAATGCACAATATGTGGTTTCATAATATGTGAGATTTTATTCCAAAATTGTTGAAGAATTTTTCTATGTTTTATTTTTAACGAAAATTGAAGAATTCACATAAAATTTCATTCAAAAATTAAGACGAAAAAATTAAGTCAAAAATGATGATAAAAAATTATAGTTAAGGAATGATAGCAATAGTCTTGTTAGTACCATATATATTTGTGAGTTACGGTTCTCCAAACATAACACATTCTATAAGAGTATGTGCAGGGGCTCACGGAAACCCAATTTCAGTGAGCGTTAGGCACTTTGGTCGCACAGCGGCCTAGCTAAACTATGTGGGGCCCACTAGCGATCACGGGCCGGTTAACTGCTGTGAGCCAGCCCGCAATCACTGTTTTATTTTTTTGTTTTTTCCTAATGCAAAATGGCGCCATTTTGCATTAGCCTTTTTTTGTTTTTTCCTCCAATGGTAGTGCACTGTTGCTGAACTGTGCCTTGAGGCATTATTTGGCAGAATTTTTTGTTTTTTTTGAAAAAACCTAAAATTAGATTATTTTGAGCTCTTTTTTTTAAAAAATAATAATAATAATAATTCATTAAATAAAAAATATATTGTTTAGGCACTATTTGTTCCCCAAAAAAAAATTAAAGTTTTTTTTTTTTTCCCCTTAAAATTTGTTTTTATTTTTAATTTTTTTGCTTAAAATTTTAAATGTGTACCACAAACAATGCATTTGGCCATTAAGGCATTGTTTGGCTGACACAAATAATGCCTTAACAGCTATAATTTTAAAAATATATATATAATTTTTTTAATTTTTTGTAAAAAAAATAATTAAAATTACAAATTTATCTACTTATTCCAATAGAATTTTTTAATCCTTATTTTCTTATTCCAATTCATTATTTTTAAGATGAAAAATATAGCCGTTTAAGAAAAGTTTTTAAAAAAAATTAATTAATTTTAATTTTAATTTTTAATTTTTAATTATTATTATTTTTTTTTTGGAAATTAAAAATTCGGAGAGCCTGATGGGGTGCATGTTTCTGGAGAGTGAAAGTTACTGAAGTAGCTCTTGAAATTACTGACGTAACTCTTGAAAAAGTTAATGTGACATTTTTAAAGAGCTAAAATTTGAAGAGACTGGTGCAAATAACCTATTAAAATTTGAAGAAACTGATGCAAATAGTTTATTGAAAAAATTAATGTGACATTTTTAAAGAGTAAAATTTTGAAAAGGCTGATGCAAATAGCTTAAGAGATAGGTGTACAACATCAATATACAAATGAAAGACATTAATTTTGTGTAGATTTTGTTGTTTTGGACGGCGGTGGGAGGTGGGACATGGCTATATGGATGAAGCAACGCTGATGAGACGGGTGAAAATAACGTTATCAAATCTTTCACGACTCAAAATTACAAACCCCATGAAACAGACAGTCCAGACCCATGAGGACTGACTGCACTATTCAAATCCTTTCATGCGCGGACCGATTTGTATTATGATATGTATACAACATAGAGTCATCGAATTATATAACCGACCACGAATATACCTGAATGAAACACGTGAAAGTCAACCCACTTCTCTCTCTAGTTTTTTTTTTTTTTTGTTTCTCTCTCATTCATTTTTACTAAAAACAAAAAACTTCCTGTAGTGCGTTCCCACGAGTTTGGGCTGTCGCTTTCCCACGAAACTCGGAAGTCAATTTTTTTTTTTTTTTTTTTTTCGTTTAAAAAAATGGTAATGGGTACATTTCGTCAGCAGGAGAAAGAGATGGGACTCTGCCAATTTAGGAGTGTTTAGGTGTGATTTCTATGTTAAGTATCATGGTGTTTAAGGGCATATAGATTGAATTAGATTCTTTTCTTTAATCAATCCAAATTCCTTCTCAAATTGTACAAACTTCTTTCAAAAGAAAATTTCATATACGAAATTTCTTTAGAATATTTTGAAAGTATTGTCAACCGTTTGATGCATCTACAACTATAATGTTATTCAATTAATCAACTAAATAACAGAAAAGAAAAATAATTAAGAAATAAGTTCACATTGGCGACACATATATGATACCATCTCATCAAATATTAATTAATTATTTTTTTAGTTATTCAAGTTAATTTTTGGCTTTGGAAATTAAGCATTTTCAAATTACATTTCTCTTTGGAAAACATTTTTCAATTAACAAGTCACACAATCTATAGGCCTCTCACAGCCCAAACAGGTTCATAAGGCAAGAAGAAAAAAAAGAAAAAAAAATAGTTGCAACAGATTATTCAGGAGGCAACATTATGTAGAATAACCAACATAAGATTATTTTTTAACCTTCAAAAGTCCAAAA